AGGTTGGGGTGAGCCGAGATCATGCCATTGTATTCCAGCCTGGGTAACAAGAGCGAAACTCTGTCTCAAAAAAAAACAAAAACAAAAAACAAACAAACAAACAAACAAACAAAAAAAAACCAGTTAATATGTAATTTAAACATGCATGAGTAGTAACACGTTTTTAAAAGTATTGTGATTTTTGCCAGCCACAAGAGTGGTTGATAGATATAATCTATTTATCAGAGGCACACAGGGCTTCCAAGGTGTTGACAATGTTCTATAAATTTGCATTTTTTGTTTGTTTTTAGACAGGGTCTTGCTCTGTTGCCTAGGCCACAGTGCAGAGGTGTGATCATAGCTCACCACAACCTCAAAATCTTGAATTCCTGGGCTCAAGCAGTCCTCCCACCTCACCCTCCAGAGTACAAATGTGATCTAGCTGTTCGTTGTGTGGTTTTGAGAGAGTTGTTTAATATTTTTTAAATATTTTTTTCAAGGCCAGGCATGGTGGCTCAAGCCTGTAATCCCAGCACTTTGGGAGACTGAGGCAGGTGGATCACCTGAGGTCAGGAGTTCAAGACCAGCCTGACCAACATGGTGAAACCCTATATATATATATATATATATATATATATATATATTTCATTAAAAATTATTATTATTATCATTTTGAAAGAGAGTTTCTCTCGTTGCCCAGGCTTGAGTGCAATGGCTTGATCTCAGCTTACCGCAACCTCCACCTTCCAGATTTAAGTAATTCTCCTGCCTCAGCCTCCCAAGTAGCTGGGACTACAGGCATGCCCCACCACGTCAGGCTAATTTTGTAATTTAGTAGAGACGAGGTTTCTCCATGTTGGTCAGGCTGGTCTTGAACTCCTGACCTCAGATGATCCACCCACCTTGGCTTCCCATAGTGCTGGGATTGATTACAGGTGTCAGCCACTGTACCTGGCCCATTAAAAAAAATCGTATTTTAGAGGCTAGGTCTTTCTCTTTCACCCAGGCTGTAGCACCATGGCACCATCTCAGTTTAGTACAGTCTGCCACCCAGGTTCAAGTGATTTTCGTGCCTCAGCCTTCCCAGTAGCTGGGATTACAGGTGTAAGCCACCATGCTTGGCCTTTTGTGTGGTTTTAACAGAGTTGTTTAATGTTTTATAAATTGAATGTCTATTTTTAATATGTTCTATATGAAATATGTCACAATAGAACATTTTGAAAATACATTTTGTGAGGTCTAATGGGGAAGAGCAATGATGGAAAATCGTTGATTATCCACAGATTTTTTTAAAAAAAATTTTTAGTTTAGAGATGGCTGTTCATGGGTACAATCACAATGCAGTGCAGTTTCCAACTCCTGGGTTGAAGTGATCCTCTTGTTTCAGCTTCCCAAGTAGCTTGGACTACAAGTGCATGCCATTACGCCCAGCTCCACAGATATTTTTACTTACTTCATATACACAATGAGTCCAGGTGCCTGGAACATAGAAGGTGCTAAAATATTTATGGGCCAGGAGTGGTGGCTCACACCTGTAATCCCAGCACTCTGGGAGGCCGAGGTGGGCAGATCACGTGAGGTCAGGAGTTTAAGACCAGCCTGACCAACATGGCAAAATCTTGTCTCTACTAAAAATACAAAAATTAGCTGGGTGTGGGGGCAGATGCCTATAATCCCAGCTACCTGGGAGGCTGAGGCAGGAGAATCACTTGAACCCAGGAGGCAGACGTTGCAGTGAACCAAGATCACACCACTGCACTCTAGCCTGGGCAATCAGAGTAAGACTCTGTCTCAAAAAAAAAAAAAAATATATATATATATATATAGAAAGAGGGGAGTAATGTGAAATCAGAACCTATTATTAATATTATGGTGCTTATGATTAAGTTAGCGGTTTAAATAAGACATAACCATGGGAAGATAACATAAGCTCTTATAAGGGCATTTTGATAATTATAGGCAGTAAGTGCTATAAAAATTCTGTGAAGAAAGTAGTATTTATGAATGATATGATAAATAATGATGATACGATGGCTTTATGTCTTATTTTTATGTCAGATTTTCTAGGTGCCCTGATCCTGTTAATGCCATCATTTCCTTACCTGCTGTTTATTTTTCTTTCTAAAATATAACCACATATTGTTTATGAATGATATGATAAATGCTTGGGGATACCTAGCAGAGGAATTGGTATTTGAAGAAGTACTTGACAAATGTAATAATAATGTTAATTGCTAACATTTATCAAACATTTAATACACGCTGTTGAATACTTAATATATATTAACTCACTGAGTTATCTTCTTAAGAACCATATTTTTAAAAATGCTGTTAGCTTGATCTCATAGATGAAGAACTGAGAATTAGAGGGGTAGGCAAAGTAATTGTTCAGGGTTACACAGCCAGTAAGTGGACAAGTTGGGAATACAGGGAGTTGGACCTCAGAGCTTTTGCTCCAGACCACTGTAGTTTATGGTCTCTTTGTGGTTATATTTACAAAAGATAAATAAATAAGAGGTAAGGAAATGATTACATTAACAGGATCAGGGCACCTGGAAAATCTGACACAAAAATAATACATAAAACTAGTAAGATAATTTGAAGCCAGATTTTTTTAAAATTTTATTCATTTATTAATTTTTTTTAGACAGAGTCTCACTCTATCAACCAGGCTGGAGTGCAGTGGCACAGTCTTCCCTCACTGCAGCCTCCATTTCCTGGGTTCAAGTGATTTTCCTGCTTTAGCCTCCTGAGTAACTAGGATTACAGGCATGTGCCATCATGCCTAGCTAATTTTTGTATTTTTAGTACGGATGGGTTTTCACCTTGTTGGCTAGGTTGAACTCCTGACTTCAAGTGACCCACCCATCTCGGCCTCTCAAAGTGCTGGGATTACAGGTGCAAACTGCTGCACCTATCCACAAATGCCATCTTTCTAAGTTTGCCTTTCTAATCAAAATTTTTGCTGGGCCAGGAAAAAAAACAGTGTTCATATTTCATGAGTTATCTTCTCTTTTGGATTAGAAAGATACAAGAATCACCATAAATGAAGATGTAGTATCTTAAAAATTAGGTAGATTTTCTTTTTCTTCTTCTTCTTCTTTTTTTTTTTTTTTTTTTTTTTGAGACAGAGTCTCACTCTGTCACACAGGCTGGAGTGCAGTGGCATGATCTGGGCTCACTGCAACCTCCACCTCTTGGGTTCAAGCCATTCTCCTGCCTCGTCTCCTACCGACCCCCCCCCCACCCCGCCCAGCCCTGAGTAGCTGGGATTGCAGGTACGAACCACCATGCTCAGCTAATTTTTGTATTTTTAATAGAGGCATGGTTTCCCCATGTTGTCCAGGCTGGTCTCAAACTCCTGACCTCAAGTGATCCGCCTGCCTCAGCTTCCCAAAGTGCTGGAATTACAGGCATGAGCCACCACACCCGGCTATTAGATTTCATTTTCTAAAAGAACATAAAAAGTCTAGAAGAGATAGATAATAGAGGGTATTTTAACTAATTTTTTACATCCATATGGAAGATAACTTTCAGCTATGTAGTGCTTTTTTTCTTTTTTTTTTTTGAAACGGAGTTTCGCTCTTGTTACCCAGGCTGGAGTGCAATGGTGCGATCTCGGCTCACTGCAACCTCTGCCTCCTGGGTTCAAGCAATTCTCCTGCCTCAGCCTCCTGAGTAGCTGGGATTACAGGCACGCACCACCATGCCCAGCTGATTTTTTGTATTTTTAGTAGAGATGGGGTTTCACCATGTTGACCAGGATGGTCTCGATCTCTTGACCTTGTGATCCACCTGCCTCGGCCTCCCAAAGTGCTGGGATTACAGGCGTGAGCCACTGCGCCTGGCCTATGTAGTGCTTTTTTAAAGAGTCCAGTATGAGGCCAGGTATGGTAGCTCATGCCTATAATCCCAGCACTTTGGGAGACTGAGGCAGGCAGATCACTTGAGGTCAGGAGTTCGAGGCCAGCCTGGCCAACATGGTGAAACCCCGTCTCTGCCAAAAAAATACAAAATTTAGCTGTCCATGATGGTGCATGCCTGTAGTTCCAGCTACTCCAGAGGCTGATGTCGGAGAATCACTTGAACCCAGGAGGCAGAGGTTGTAATGAGCTGAGATGGCACCACTGCACTCCAGCCTGGGCAACACAGTGAGATCCTGTCTCAAAGAAAAAAAAGTCCAGTATAAGTTAGCAAGTGTTACATAGTATTGACATTGTATTCAGGTGAAACAACTGGGCCTTTAGTAGGTAGCTTATTTTCTTGTGTGGGTCAAGAACTTGTTTCTGATCTCAAATCCAGTTACTTACAATATTATAAGTAAATACGTTCTCACACTTAGACTCCTGAAACAGACACTCAGAGTTCTAAGCCTTTATTCATTTTGGTTTTTGTTGTTGTTGTTGTTATTGTTTTATTTTTTTGAAACAGAGTCTTGCACTATTGCCAGGCTGGAGAGCAGTGGTGCTATCTTGGCTCACTGTAGCCTCTGCCTCCCAGGTTCAAGCAATTCTCCTGCCTCAGTCTCCTGAGTAGCTGTGACTACAGGGTGTGTGCCACCACGCCCAGCTAATTTTTGTATTTTTAGTAGAGGCAGTTTCACCATGTTGGCCAGGATGGTCTCCATCTTTTGACCTGTGATCCACCCGTCTCAGTCTCCCAAAGTGCCGGGATTACAGGCATGATCCACCACGCCCGGCCTCATTTTGGTGTTTCTAAGAAGGCAGAGAGCTGACTTTCATGGCCTTGGGCCTTTATAACACATGGGAATGTGGGCAAAAGGGGACGTTAGTTTCTATTGTTATAAAATTTTTGAGGTAGCTATGTGAAAGTTGGCAAGTGATAGTGACAGGACTTCTTTCAGATTATACAGGTTAGAAAAGTTCGTTCATCTCCAAAATGCCAGACATAAAGGTACATGAATACTTTAATACTAAGAACAGATGATAGACTTTTAAAGAGGTAAGGCACAGTGGTTCTGGTAATCTTGATCCAAATATAGTATTTTGTTTCCTTTTTAGATTACAGTGTATCTGCAAACTCCAAAATAGTTATTGTCACAGCAGGTGCACGGCAGCAGGAGGGAGAAACTCGCCTTGCCCTGGTCCAACGTAATGTGGCTATCATGAAATCAATCATTCCTCCTATAGTCCGTTGTAGTCCTGATTGTAAAATTCTTGTTGTTTCAAATCCAGGTGAGTCTTTTCTTTTGTTTTATTGCATAAGGATGATTTTCTCTTACCATTCCTTTAAAAGAATCAACTTCATTGAGGTAACATTTATGTACAATAAATTGCACTCATTTAAAGCATATAATTCAATTTTTGATATATGTAATCACTCATGAAACTAACACCATAATCAAGATACAAAACATTTATCTCTGAAAGTTTTCTTGTGCCTCTTTGAAACTCATCTCTCATTCCAACTCTGGCCCCATTTTCTGGAATTTCATATGAATGGAATCGTGGTGAATGTAATTTTTTATGCCTGACTTCTTTTGCCCAGCATTATTATTTTGGGATTCATCCATATTATTGGGTGTATCATATTGTTCCTTTTTTAGTGCCAAAGTATTATTGTAATTATACATTTTTTTTTGAGATGGGGTCTCAGGGTCTCACCCTGTTACCCAGGTTGGAATGCAGTGGTGTAATCTTGGCTCACTGCAACCTCTGCCTACCAGGCTGAATTGATCCTCCCACCTCAGCCTACCCAGTAACTGGGTCCACAGGCATGTACCACCACACCCAGCTAATTTTTGTATTTTGGGTAGAAGTGGGGTTTTACCATTTTGTCCAGGCTGGTCTGGAACTCCTAAGCTCAGGCAGTCCACCCACCTTGGCCTCCCAGAGTGCTGGGATTATAGGTTTGAGCCACCACAGCCAGCCATTGTTTATACATTTAAAATACTGTTTTGTTTATCTATTCATCTGTTGATACATACTGAGATTATTTCCAGTTTTGGGCTATTATGAATGAAACTAACATCTTTTGTGTATAAGTATTTGTGTAGTCATATGTCTTTATTTCTCTTGGGTAAATACCTGGAAGTAACATAGGTGGGTTATGTGGTAGGTATATGTTTAACTCTATCGGAAATTACCTAACAGGCTGGGCATAGTGGCTCATGCCTGGAATCCTAGCGCTTTGGGAGGCTCAGGCAGGAGGATCTCTTGAGCCCAGGAGTTTGAGACCAGCGTGGGCAACAAAGAGAGACCTTGTCTGTACATAAAATCAAATAAAAAAGCTGGGTGTGAGGAGGAAGGATTACATAAGCTTGGGAGGTCTAGGCTGCAGTGAGCTGTGGTTGTGCCACTGCACTCTAGCCTGGGTGACAGAATGAGACCTTGTCTCAAAAAAAAAAAAAAAAAAAAAAAAAAGAAAAAGAAAACCAAACACAAAAAAACAGTTTTAAATTTTAGCCAATCCAGGCCAGGTATGGTGGCTTATGCCTGTAATCATAGCACTTTGGGAGGCCAAGGCAGGTGGATCACCTAAGGTTAGGAATTCAAGACCAGCCTGGCCAACATGGTGAAACCCTGTCTCTACTAAACATAAAAAAAATTAGCCAGGCATGGTGGTGGGCACCTGTAATCTCAGCTATGTGGGAGGCTGAGATAGGAGAATCAGGAACCCCGGAGGCGGAGGTTGCAGTGAGCAGAGATTGCTCCAGGGCATTCCAGCCTGGGCAACAGGAGCCAGATACTGTCTTAAATAAATAAATAAAATAAATAAATTTCAGCCAATCCAATATCTGTGTGTGTGTGTGTGTGTGTGTGTGTGTGTGTGTGTGTGTGTATGTATGTGTTTTGTTTTTTTGTTTTTTGTTTTTTGTTTTTGAGATGGAGTCTTCCTCTGTCTCCCAGGCTGGAGTTCAGTGGTGTGACCTTGGCTCAGGGCAACCTCTGCCTCCTGGGCTAAAGTGATTCTCGTGCTTCAGACTCCGAAGTAGCTGGGATTACTGGTGCATATCACCACACCCGGCTAATTTTTGTATTTGTATTTTTAGTAAAGATGAGTTTATACCTTGTTGGCCAGGGTGGTCTCGAATTCCTGACTTCAGGTGATCTGCCTGCCTTGGACTCTCAAAGTACTAAGATTACAGGCATGAGCCACTGTGTCCTACAGGGTTTTCAAGGTAACAATCATATTATCAGCAAACAGGAACAGTTTGACTTCCACGTTACCAGTTTGGATGCCCTTTATTTCTTTCTCTTGTTTGATTGCTCTGGCTGGGACTTCCAGTACTATGTTGAAGAGGAGTGGTGATAGTGGGCATCCTTGTCTTATTCCTGTTCTCAGAGGGAATGCTTTCAACTTTTCCCCATTCAGCGGTATTATATTGGCTATGGGTTTGCCATAGGTTACTTTTTGGGTTTTTTTTGGAGACAGAGTCTGGCTCTGCTGACCAGGCTAGAGTGCAGTGGCATGAACTCGGCTCACTGCACCTTCTGCTTCCTGGGTTCAAGCAATTCTCCTGTCTCAGCCTCCCAAGTAGCTGGGATCACAGGTGCGTGTCAAATTTTTTCTATTTTTGGTAGAGACAGGGTTTCACCATATTGGTCGGGCTGGTCTTGAACTCCTGACCTCAGGTGATCCACCGGCCTTGGCCTCCCAAAGTTCTGGGATTACAGGTGTCAGCCACTGTGCCCAGTTCATGGATGACTTTTATTACATTAAGGTATGTCCCTTGTATGCTGATTTTGCTGAGGGTTTTAATCATAAAGGGATGCTGGATTTTGCTGAATGGTTTTCCTGCATCTATTGAGATGATCATGTGATTTTTGTTTTTAATTCTGTTTATGTGGTGTATCGCATTTATTGACTTGTGTATGTTAAACCATCCCTGCATCCCTGGTATGAAACCCACTTGATCATGGTGGATTATCTTTTTAACATGTTGTTAGATTCAGTTAGCTACCATTTTGTTAAGGATTTTAGCATCTTTGTTCATGAAGGATATCAGTCTGTAGTTTTCTTTTTTGGCTGTATCCCTTCCTGGTTTTGGTATTAGGGTGATGATGGCCTTATAGAATGACTTAGGGAGGGTTCCTTCTTTCTCTGTCTTGTGGAATAATGTCAAAAAGGTTAGTACCAATTCTTCTTTGAATGTCTGGTAGAATTCTGCTGTGAATCTATCTGGTCCAGAATTTCTTTTTGTCGGTAATTTTTAATTACCGTTTCAATCGCACTTCTTGTTATTGTTCTGTTCAGGGTATCTAATTCTTCGTGATTTAAGCTAGAAGGGTTGTATATTTCCAGGAATTTGTCCATCTCTTCTAGGTTTTCTGGTTTATGAGTGTAAAGGTGTTCATAGCAGCCTTGAATTATCTTTGTATTTCAGTGGTGTCAGTTGTAATATCTCCTATTTTATTTCCTCATGAGATTATTTGGATTTACTCTCTCTGTGTTTTTTTGAGATCAAGTTTTGCTCTTTCACCCAGGCTGGAGTGCAATGGCATGATTTCAGCTCATTGCAATGTCCGCCTCCTGGGTTCAAGTGATACTCCCACCTCAGCCTCCTGAGAAGCTGGGATTACAGGTACCTACCACTATGTCTAATGTTTGTATTTTTAGTAGATACGGGGTTTCATAATGTTGGCCAGGCTGGTCTCAAACTCCTGACCTCAGGTTATACGCCCACCTTGTCCTCCCAAAGTGCTGGGATTACAGACATGAGCCACCATGCCCGGCCAGCTCTCTTCTTTTCTTGGTTAATCTTGCTAATGGTCTATCAATTTTATTTATCTTTTCAAAGAAAGAACTTTTTGTTTCAGTTTTCTTTTTTCTTTTTTTTTTTTTTTTAAGATGAGGTTTCGGCCGGGCGCGGTGGCTCAAGCCTGTAATCCCAGCACTTTGGGAGGCCGAGGCGGGTGGATCACGAGGTCAAGAGATCGAGACCATCCTGGTCAACATGGTGAAACCCCGTCTCTACCAAAAATACAAAAAATTCGCTGGGCATGGTGGTACGTGCCTGTAATCCCAGCTACTCAGGAGGCTGAGGCAGGAGAATTGCCTGAACCCAGGAGGCGGAGGTTGCGGTGAGCCGAGATCGTGCCATTGCACTCCAGCCTAGGTAACAAGAGCGAAACTCCGCCTCAAAAAAAAAAAAAAAAAAAAAAAAAAAAAGATGAGGTTTCACCATGTTAGCCAGTCTGGTCTTGAACTCCTCATCTCAAATGATCCGCCTGCCTTGGCCTCCCAAAGTGTTGGGATTATAGATGTGACCTATCACACCTGGCCTTCATTTTTCTTTTGTAATTTTTATTGTTTCAATTTCATTTAGTTCTGCTCTGATCTTGGTTATTTCCTTTCTTCTGCTGGGTTTGGGTGTGGTTTATTCTTGTTTTTCTAGTTCCTTGAGGTGTGACTGTGGTGGTCTGTTTGTGCTCTTTCAGACTTTTTGATGTAGGCATTTAGGGCTATGAACTTTCCTCTTACCATTGCCTTAGCTATATCCAGAGGTTTTGATAGGTTGTGTCATTACTGTCATTCAGTGTGAAGAGTTTTTCATTTCCATCTTGATTTCATTTTTGACTCAATTCTCATTCAGGAACAAGTTATTTACTTTCCATGTATTTGTGTGATTTTGAAGGTTCCTTTTGGAGTTGATTTCCAGTTTTAGTCCAGTTGTCTGAGAGAGTGCTTGACATAATTTCAATTTTCTTAAATATATCGAGGCTCATTTTATGGCCTATTGCATGGGCTATTTTGGAGAAAGTTCCATGTGCTGTTGAATAGAATGTGTATTCTGTGGTTGTTGGATGAAATGTTCTGTATCTCTCTGTTAAATCCATTTGTTCCAAAGTATAGTTTAAATCCATTGTTTCTTTGTTGATGTTCTGTCTTGATGATCTGTTAGTGCTGTCAGTGGAGTATTGAAGACCCCCGCTATTATTGTGTTGCTGTCTATCTCATTTCTTAGGTCTATTAATAATTGTTTTATAAATTTGGGAGCTCCAGTGTTAGGTACATGTTATGTTTAGGATTGTGATATTTTCCTGTTGGACAAGGCCTTTTTATGTACCTCTTTGCCTCTTTTAACTTCCGTTGCTTTAAAGTTTGTTGTCTATAAGAATAGCTTCAAACCCCAGCTTGTTTTTCATGTCCATTTGCATGAAATGCCTTTTTCTTTCCACCCCTTTAAGTTTATTTGAGTCCTTATATGTTAGGTGAGTCTCCTGAAGTCAGCAGATAGTTTGTTGGTGAGTTTTTTTTTTTTTTTTAATGTTATTTTATTTTATTTATTTATTTATTTGCAACAGAGTTTCACTCTTGTTGCCCAGGCTAGAGTGCAATGACGCAATCTTGGCTCACCACAACCTCCGCCTCCTGGGTTCAAGTGATTCTCTTGCCTCAGCCTCCCAAGTAGCTGAGACTACAGGTCTGTGCCACCACACCCAGCTAATTTTGTGTTTTTAGTAGAGACAGGGTTTTTCCATGTTGATCAGGCTGGTCTCAAATTCCCAAGCTCAGGTGATCTGCCCGCCTTGGCCTCTCAAAGTGCTGGGATTATAGGTGTAAGCCACCATGCCCGGCTGGTTGATGAGTTCTTATTCATTCCACAGTTCTGTATCTTTTAAGTGGAGCATTTAGGCCATTTACATTCAATATTACTGTTGAAATTGGAGATACCATTGTATTCATCATGCTGTTTGTTGCTTATGTACTTTGGTGTTTTGTTTGTTTGCTGTTTTTGCTTTTAACTTTTATTTTTATTTCATTGGTCCTGTGTGATTTATGCTTTAAAGAGATTCTGGGACGAGCATGGTGGTTTATGCCTATAATCCCAACACTTTTGGGAGGCCAAGGGGGGCAGATCACATGAGGTCAGGAGTTCAAGACCAGCCTGGCCAACATAGTGAAACTCTGTCTCTATTAAAAACACAAAAATTAGCCAAGCATGGTGGCAGGCACCTGTAGTCCCAGCTACTCGGTAGGCTGAGGCAAGAGAATCACTTGAACCTGGAGGCAGAGGTTTCAGTGAGCTGAGATCATGCCATTGCACTCCAGCCTGGGCAACAGAGCAAGACTCTGTCTCAAAAAAAGTAAATAAATAAATTAAAAAATAAAGAGATTCTGTTTTGTTATGTTTCCAGGATTTGTTTAAAGATTTAGAGCTCCATAGCGGTGGCTTGGTAGTGGCGAATCCTCTCAGCATTTGTTTATCTGAAAATGACTGTATCTTTCCTTCAAACATGATGCTTAGTTTCACTGGGTACAACCCTCCTGGCTGATAATTGCTTTGTTTGAGGAGGCTGAAGATAGGGCCCCAGTCCCTTCTAGGTTGTAGGGTTTCTGCTGAGAAATCTGCTGTTAATCTGATAGGTTTTACAATCTGATAGCTTTTCCTTTATAGGTTACCTGGTGCTTCTGTCTCACAGCTCTTAGGATTCTTTCCTTTGTCTTAACTTTGGGTAACCTGATGACAATGTGCCTAGGCAAATATTCTTTTGCAATGAATTTCCCAGGTGTTCTTTGTGCTTCTTGTATTTGCGTATCTCGGTCTCTAGCAAGGCTGGGGAGGTTTTCTTCAATTATCTCCCCAAATACCAAATATACTTCCCAAGCTTTTATAATTGTCTTCTTCCTCTGGAATACCGATTATTCTTAGGTTTGTTTGTTTAACATAATCCCAGACTTCTTGGAGTCTTTGTTCATATTTTCCTATTCTTTTTCTTTGTCTTTGTTGGATTGGGTTAATTTGAAGACCTTGTCTTCGAGCTCTGAATTTCTTTTTGTTCAATTCTGTTGCTGAGAATCCAGGCAATTCTATTGCTGAGACTCCAGAGCATTTCGCATTTCTAAAAGTGTGTCCAAAGTTTCCTGAATTTTTTACTGTATTTTTTTTCTTTAAGCTATTTATTTCTGTGAACATTTCTCCCTTCACTTATTGTATTTTTTTTTTAATTGATTTCCCTGCATTGGGCTTTGCCTTTCTCTGGTCTTTTCCTGATTAGTTTAATAACTAACCTCCTGAGTTCTTTTTCAGGTAAACCAGGAATTCCTATTGGTTTGGATCCATGGCTGGTGAACTAGTGTGATTTTTGGGGGGTATTGATGAGCCTTGTTTAGTCATATTACTAAGGTTGGTTTTCTGATTCCTTCTTAGCCTCCCAAGTAGCTGGGAATGCAGGCGTGTGCCACCACGCCCAGCTAATTTTTGTATTTTTTGGTAGAGACAGGGTTTCACCATGTCCAGGCTGGTCTCAAACTCCTGACCCGAAGTGATCCACCTGCCTCGTCCCAAAGTGTTGGGATTACAGGCATGAGCCACCAAGTTCAGCCAGTGATTTGCTTCACTTCGAACTCTGTAGTAAATCTGTACTTGACTCCAAAACAATTCATCTGTTGAGGAAAAAAATTTTCAAGTGACAATGAATCTTTTTCTAACATGAAAATTTTTCTTCTTAGTGGATATTTTGACATATGTAGTCTGGAAGATAAGTGGCTTACCTGCAACTTGTGTAATTGGAAGTGGTTGTAATTTAGACTCTGCCCGTTTTCGTTATCTAATTGGAGAAAAGTTGGGTGTTCATCCCACAAGCTGCCATGGTTGGATTATTGGAGAACATGGTGATTCTAGTGGTAAGTAGAAATCTATTATCATTATGTGTCTGCTCTTACCTCTAATAATGCTTATTTTCTTTAAAGTTTTTCCCTGATATTAATATAGTTATATGAGTTTCATTTTGTTGTTATTTCCCTGGTATAAATTTTACTATTCTTTTTTTTTTTTTTTTTTTTTGAGACGGAGTTTCGCTCTTGTTACCCAGGCTGGAGTGCAATGGCGCGATCTCGGCTCACCGCAACCTCCGCCTCCTGGGCTCAGGCAATTCTCCTGCCTCAGCCTCCTGAGTAGCTGGGATTTGCACCACCATGCCCAACTAATTTTTTGTATTTTTAGTAGAGACAGGGTTTCACCATGTTGACCAGGATGGTCTCGATCTCCTGACCTCGTGATCCACCTGCCTTGGCCTCCCAAAGTGCTATTCTTTACTTTCAATCTTTTGCATTGATTTATCTATCTTTCATAAAATAGTCTATAAAGCATATAGCTGTTTTAATAGTCAATGAATGTTTCTCTTATCTGTAATACTTTTTTATTTATTGTGATTTTTTTAAAAACAGCTTTATTAAGACATGATTTATGATATGGTTTGGGTCTATGTCCCTGCCCAAATCTCATGTTGAATTGTAATCCCCAGTGTGGGAAGTGGGGCCTGGTGGGAGGTGGTTAGATCATGGAGACAGGTTCTCATGGTTTAACAGCATCCTCCTTGGTGCTGTTTTCACAATAGTGAGTTCTTGTGAGATCTGGTTGTTTAAAAGTATGTGGCACTTCCCCCCACCTCCCTCCTTCTGCTGTAGCCATGTAAGATGCTCCTGCTCATGCTTCCCCTTCGCCTTCTTCCATGATTGAAAGTTTCCTGAGGTCTCCCAGGAAGACAAGCAGATGCCAGCATTGTGCTTCCTGTATAGCTTGCAGAATTGTGAGCCAGTTAAACATCTTTTCTTTACAAGTTGCCCAGTCTCAGGTATTTATTTATAGCAATATTGGAATGGACCAATATAATACATATACCATAAAATTCAACCACCAAAATATACAGTTCATGAGTTTCTAGTATATTCACAGGGTTATACAAATATCACCACAATCTAAATATAGACTGTTTTCATCAGCCCAAAATGAAATCCCCATTTTTTTCCCCTACCCTAGCCCCAGGCAACCACTAATCTACTTTCTCACTCTGTAGATTTACTTATTCCAAATTTTTCATATAACTGAAACAATACATGATTTTAACTATTCAGGCCATACCAACCTGTCTTTACTGAATTTAAACATTTGATCTCTGCTATAGGGTTAGAACTTTATACTTTTTACAGTGTTCTTTAATTGTGTCACGTATGTAAATCTTCTTTCCATAGTGGCAATGAACCCATTGAGAATAAAGACCATTTATTCAAACATTCATTCATTTATTCAAAACATTTAAAGTGCCCTTTTCTTTATATGCCAAGAGCCATAATATAACAAATACATTTATTTGATTTGAATAAATATTTCTTCAACCAGAGCCTTACTTTGACCCTGTTGGCTTGTGTTATTGTCCTAACACAGTTATTCTTCCTGAAGGTCATTAAAACTAATTTTCTCAGGTGTATTTTAATTTCTCACATTTAATATTCTATAGTTTTATTTTTAGAAGACAGTACATTCTGGCTGGGTACGGTGGCTCACGCCTGTAATCCCAGCACTTTGGGAGGCTGAGGTGGGTGGATCACGAGGTCAAGAGATCAAGACCATCCTGGCCAACATGATGAAACCCTGTCTCTACTAAAAAATACAAAAATTAACTGGGCGTGGTGGCACGCACCTGTAGTCCCAGCTGCTTGGGAGGCTGAGGCAGAAGAATTGCTTGAACCCGGGAGGCGGCGGTTGAAGTGAGCCAAGATTGCACCACTGCACTCCAGCCTGGTGCCTGGCAACAGAGTGAAACTCTGTCTCAAAAAAAAAAAAAAAAAAAAAAGAAAGAAAGAAAAGAAAAGAAAACAGTAGATTCTGATTAATATTAATTTGAACATAGTATTCTGTTTAGCATTATTTTCTGTTTCCTTTCTCTTTTTCTGCTTTCCATTGGATTTACTTTCTTTAATTTTCTCATACTTTGGGTTATGCACTTACCTTGTAAATAGTTATCTGTAAATTTTTTACATCAATACTTTACCTCAGGTGATCAATTTATTTACTCTTCTTTGGAATAATACAAGGATCTTAGAATGCATTTTGTTTGATCATCCTCTTTTTTATGATGTTGACACCATTCTCTTTCTGTCATACATGTAATTATTAGTTCCTTTTCTGTAGCCATACTGGTCTTATATCCCCCAAACTAGTTATAATGGTTATTGTTTCAATAGTCAATGCTTGTTTTGGTTCATGTACCAGTTTGCCAATTTTGCCAGGTTTTGTGTTGCTTATCTTTATTTTCTCCATCTAACTTCTTCCCTTGGATTCAATTTCTTTCTTCCTGAGCTATATCCTGTTGGTGTTGTTTCTATGACTGTTTTAGTCTCACTTTGTTCTGGAATGACATGTTAATTGGATGTGAGATTCTAGATTGACAGTTTTCCTCCTTGGCTCTTTATTCCTGTTGAGAAGTATGGTATTAATTTGATATTCTCTAATTGCTTATAATATTTAATCTTATCAGTCCTTTTTTTTGTTTACATTGCATTTTATATATTGCTTAAAAAATATGTGTGTTGCTTAAAAATGCCTCCTATACCACACAACTATAAGTAAATTCTACTACATATTTTCTGACAACTTTATAATTTTATTTCTTACATCTTTTTATGCATTTGAAACCTATTTTATGTATGGTGTAAGGTGGTGTTTTAGGCTATTTTTGTGTTGCTATAAAGAAATACCTGGCCAGGCTGGGCGCGGTGGCTCACGCCTATGATCCCAGCACTTTGGGAGGCCAAGTTGGGCAGATCACGAGGTCAAGAGATCGAGACCATCCTGGTCAACATGGTGAAACCCCATCTCTACTAAAAATACAAAAATTAGCTGGGCATGGAGCCATGTGCCTGTAGTCCCAGCTACTTGGGAGGCTGAGGCAGGAGAATTACTTGAACCCAGGAGGTGGAGGTTGCAGTGAGCCAAGATCACACCATTGCACTCCAGCCTGGGCAACAAGAGTGAAACTCCATCTCAAAAAAAAAAAAAAAAAAAAAAAAAAAAAGAGAGAGAAATACCTGGCCAAAAGTAGTGGCTCCTGCCTGTAATCCCAGCACTTTTGGAGGCCAAGGCGTGCCGACTACTTGAGGCCAGCTGGGAATTTAAGACCAGCCTGGCCAACATAGCGAAACCCTGTTTCTACTGAAAATACAAAAAAAGTAGCTGGGTGTGTTGGCATACACCTGTAATGCCAGCTACTCAGGAGGCTGAAACAGAAGAATCCCTTGAACCTGGGAGGCGGAGGTCACAGTGAGCTGAGATCAAGCCACTATACTCCAGCTTGGGTGAAAAAAAAAAAGAAAAAAAAAGAAAGAAAATAAATACCTGAGGTTAAGTAATTTATAAAGAAAAGAGGTTTTGTGGGTTTTTTTTTTTTTTTTTTTTTCATGGAGTCTTGCTCTGTTGCCAGGCTGGAGTGCAGTGGCTTGATCTCAGCTCACTGCAACCTCCGCCTCCTGGGTTCAAGTGATTCTTCTGCTTCAGCCTCCTGGGTAGGTGGGACTACAGGCATGCGCCACTACGCCCAGCTAATTTTTTTTGTAGTTTTAGTAGAGATGGGGTTTCACCATATTGGCCAGGATGGGCTCTGTCTCTTGATCTCATGATCCACCCACCTCAGCCTCCCAAAGTGCTGGGATTACAGGCATGAGTCACCGAGCCCGACCAAGAAAAGAAGTTTAATTTAGCTTGTGCTTCTGCAGGTTGTACAGGCATAGCTCCAACATATGCTCTTGATGAGGGCCTCAGGAAGTTTACAATCGTAGCAGAAGGCAAAGGGGAAGTAGATGTGTCACATGGTGAGGGTGGTAACAAGAGAGAGAGGAGGTGCCATATATTTTTAAACAACCAGATCTCACATGAACTCTGAGTGAAAGCTCATCAACAAGGGGATGATGCTAAGCTATTCATGAGAGATCTGTGCCCATGATCATACACTTCCCACTTCCAACCCCAGGGGTTACAATTTCAACATGAGATTTGAAAGGGACAAACATCTGAACCATATCAGGTGGCAGCCTAACTTAAAAAAACAACACTGAACTCAAACACCTGTTGCAATATTGCGAAGAAGAGTTTATTTTGAGATCTATATTTTTTAGTGCCCTTATGGAGTGGAGTGAATGTTGCTGGTGTTGCTCTGAAGACCCTGGATCCTAAATTGGGAACGGATTCAGACAAGGAAAACTGGAAAAATATCCATCAACAAGTTATTCAAAGGTAATATTACCTATTAAGTTTCTTAATGCCTTAATAATCAGTCTTAAGAATAAGTTTCACAGACAAAAATCAAGCAGTTGATCTTTGCTTTTTGTGAGATAAATAACTCTAGGCTTCTGGAAATCACTAAATTCAGACATATACATAGCTTTCTTTTTGGGGGCATTTTTCAAAAAGAGTAAGTACTTGTTCTTTTACAACTCATATATTTGAGGATAATAAAACCATAGTGATTATGAGCATGGACTTTGGAGCCAGGTTGTCCAGGTTTGAAACCTGCTTCATCATCTATTAGTGAGATGATACTGGGAAATTACTTAAAATATCAAAAGTTGTTTACTCATCTTCAAAATGGGGATAATTATAGAACCTACTTTATAGAGCTATTACAAAGAGTAAAAATGTTAATACTACATGTAAAATACTAGAACCATGCCAAGAACTTATTAAATGTTCATCATTTGACTTGATGAAACATTAAACTAATGCAGATGTTCAGAAATCATTATGGTTTTCTTATAAATGAAGCATCTGACTCCATATATATTAGTCTTTTTAAATATATATATATATATGTCTAAACAGCATGCAGGATTATCCTTCCAGCTTTAGCCAAGTTACATATTAGTAGAAGTTATAGAACTTAAAAATTGGTCGAGAGCCCGCATAGCCAAGTCAACTCTAAGCAGAAAGAACAAAGCAGGAGGCATCACACTACCGGACTTCAAACTATACTACAAGGCTACAGTAATCAAAACAGCATGGTACTGGTACCAAAACAGAGATATAGACCAATGGAACAGAACAGAGGCCTCACAGGAAATACAACATACCCACAACCATCTGATCTTCGACAAACCTGACAAAAACAAGCAATGGGGAAAGGACTCCCTGTTTAATAAATGGTGTTGGGAAAACTGGCTAGCCATGTGCAGAAAGCAGAAACAGGACCCCTTCCTGACACCTTACACCAAAATTAACTCCAGATGGATTAAAGACTTAAACATCAGACCTAACACCATAAAAACCTTAGAGGAAAATCTAGGCAAAACCATTCAGGACATAGGTGTAGGCAAGGACTTCATGACCAAAACGCCAAAAGCAATGGCAACAAAAGCCAAAATAGACAAATGGGACCTAATCAAACTCCACAGCTTCTGCATGGCAAAAGAAACAGTCAGTAGAGTGAATCGGCAACCAACAGAATGGGAAAAAATTTTTGCAGCCTACCCATCTGACAAGGGGCTGATATCCAGAATTTAAAAGAACTAAAGCAGATCTACAAGAAAAAAACAAACAAGCCCATTCAAAAATGGGCAAAGGACATGAACAGATACTTTACAAAAGAAGACATACAGGAGGCCAACAAACATATGAAAAAATGCTCATCATCACTGGTCATCAGAGAAATGCAAATCAAAACCACATTGAGATACCATCTCACACCAATTAGAATGGCGATCATTAAAAAATCGGGACACAACAGATGCTGGAGAGGATGTGGAGAAATAGGAACACTTCTACACTGTTGGTGGGAATGTAAATTAGTTCAACCATTGTGGAAGACAGTGTGGTGATTCCTCAAGGACCTAAAAATAGAAATCCCATTTGACCCAGCAATCCCATTACTGGGTATATACCCAAAGGATTATAAATCATTCTACTGCAAGGACACGTGCACACGAATGTTCATTGCAGCACTGTTTACAATAGCAAAGACCTGGAACCAACCCAAATGCCCAACGATGATAGACTGGATAGGGAAAATGTGGTACATATACACCATGGAATATTACACAGCCATCAAAAAGGATGAGTTCACGTCCTTTGTAGGGACATGGATGAACCTGGAAACCATCATTCTCAGCAAACTGACACAAGAGCAGAAAATCAAACACCGTATATTCTCACTCATAGGCGGGTGCTGAACAATGAGAACACAAGGACACAGGGAGGGGAGCACTACACACTGGGGTGCGTTGGGGGGAAATGGGGGAGGGGCGGGGGGTGGGGAAGTGGGAAGAGATAGCATGGGGAGAAATGACAGATACAGGTGAGGGGACGGAAGGCAGCAAACCACACTGCCATGTGTGTACCTATGCAACAATCTTGCATGTTCATCACATGTACCCCGAAACCTAAAATGCAATAAAACAAAATAAAAAAAAAAAAAAAAAAGAAAATATGAGCCCAAAATAGGGATGTGAAAATTTTTTCACAAGTCAAGACATCGGTATATTGACTCAAATAAAAGCAAGACTGAAAAGCCTCCCTCCCAAAAAGCCAAAATATTAGAGAGCTTTCCCATTTTGCTTACAATTGTCTTAAGAAAAATATATAAATGTCAGTTATTTAGAGGACCACACAGACCTATACTTTTATATCTCCTGGGCTGTATTGATTTAAATGTTGTTTCATACATCATCTATTTGAATTTAATCAACTAAAATGCATAAAGGTAATTTGTTTTTCCTGTTATGACCATTGAAAACATTGAGTCAACATCCAAATTATACTTCTCTGATAAAATTCTCAGTCTAACAAAAAAAAAAAAAAAAATTGGTCAGGCACGGTGGCACACACCTGTAATACCAGCACTTTGGGAGGCCACGGCGAGTGGGTCACCTGAGGTCAGGAGTTGGAGACCAGACTAGTCAACATGGTAGAACCCTGTCTCTACTAAAAATACAAAAATTAGCTGGGTGTTATCACAGGCACTTGTAATCTCAGCTACTTGGGAGGCTGAGCCAGGAGAATCGCTTGAACCTGGGAGGCGGAGGATGCAGTGAGCCGAGATTGTGCCATTGCACTCCAGCTGCGGTGACAAGACTGAAACTCCATCTCAAAAAAAAAAAAAAAAAAACTTAAAAATCACTTTTGAATGTTCACAGATTGGAATATTAAATTTACAAAAACCACAAGTCTACTATATGTATACTAACGATAACAATCCTACAAAAATGTGTAAGAGGTTGGGTGTGGTAGCTCATGCCTGTAATCCCAACACTTAGGGAGGCCACAACAGGTAGATCACCTGAGGTCAGGAGTTCGAGACCAGCCCAGCCAACATGATAAAACCCTGTCCCTACTGGAAAAAAAAAAAAATTAGCCAGATATGGTGGTGCATGCCTGTAATCCTAGTTACTTGGAAGACTGAGGCAGGAGAATTGCTTGAACCCAGGAGGCAGAGGAGGCAGTGAGCTAAGATCAGGCCACTGCGCTCCAACCTGGGTGATAGAGCAAGACTCTGTCTCAGAAATAAAATAAAATAATAATAAACCAAAATGTGTAAGAATTAGAGCAGAGACCAAAAAGTCACATAACAAAAAAGTGATTATGGGTGAGTTTTGATTCTCTTAAGTGGCTTTTAGCTTTAAAAGTTGTTTTTTTCTTTTTCTTTTTCTTTTTTTTGAGACGGAGTTTCGCTTTTGTTACCCAGGCTGGAGTGCAATGGCGCGATCTTGGCTCACTGCCATCTCCGCCTCCTGGGTTCAGGAAATTCTCCTGCCTCAGCCTCCTGAGTAGCTGGGATAACAGGCATGCGCCACCATGCCCAGCTACTTTTTTGTGTTTTTAGTAGAGACGGAGTTTCACCCTGTTGAGCAGGATGATCTCGATCTCTTGACCTCGTGATTCACCTGCCTTGGCCTCCCAAAGTGCTGGGATTACAGGCATGAGCCACCGCGCCTGGCTCGCTTTAAAAGTTTGTATATATCATTTGGGTAGACTGTTGCAGTGGGAAAAAAATTTATATATATATATATATATATAAAAAATAAAAGTAACATGGTAACATTTATGAGTACAGAGTTTCAGTTTGGGAAGATGAAAATATTTGAGAGAGGATGGTGGTAATGACTGCACAGCAGTGTTAATGTATTTAATGCCACTGAACTGTATACTTCAAAAATGGTTTTTCAGTTGGTAAACAGTGTAAAAAAGGGAAAAAAAGGAAAGAAAAATTGTTAAGATGACAAATTTTACCACAGTTAAAAAAGGAGTTAAGGCTGGGTGCAGTGGCTCACACCTGTAATCCCAACACTTTGGGAGGCTGAGGTAGAAGCACTATTTGAGGCCAGGAGTTTCAGATCAGCAGGGGCAAAGGAGTGAGATCATGTCTCCACAAATAAATTTTTAAAATTAGCCAGGCATGGTGGTATGCCTGTGGTCCCAGCTACTGAGTCAGGAAGATTACTTGAGCCTAGGAGTTTTAGGCGTAACTTGAATTCACAGAGGTATGATCACACCACTGCACTCCAGTCTGGACAGCAGAGCAAGATCCTGTCTCAAAAAAAAAAAAAAAAAAAAAAATTGTTAACCAACAACAGCAACAACAAAAAATTAAAAAATTAGCTAGATGTGATGTTGCATACTGGTAGTCTTAGCTACCTAGCTACCTGGGAGGTTGAGATGGGAGGCTTACTTTAGCCCAGAATGCAAGGTTGCAGTGAGCAATGATAGTGCCACTGAATTCCAACCTGGGCAACAGAGTGAGACCTTGTCTCTTAAAAAACAAAAACAAAAAACCAAACAACAACAAAATTAAAAGTATATAGCCACTAATTGTCTGAAATTCAGACGGTTCAACTCACAGGAAATAATAGATTTTCACCTAACATTAAGTTTATCTAGCATGGTGAAAGGATACCAAGAAGAAAACACAGTATAGCATATCAATATCTTCTTTAGAAGGTTTTTTTGCATGTGTGTGTGACAGTGTCTCACTCTGTCACCAGGCTGGATTGCAGTGGCACAATCTCTGCTCACTGCAACCTCTGCCTCTTGGATTCAAGTGATTCTCCTGCCCCAGCCTCCCAAGCAGCTGGGACTACAGGTGCACACCACCACATCCAGCTAATTTTTGTATTTTTAGTAAAGACAGGGTTTCACCATGTTGACCAGGATGGTCTCAATGTCTTGACCTTGTGATCCCCCTGCCTCAGCCTCCCAAACCTCTGGGATTTCAGGCGTGAGCCATCAAGCCCAGCCCTTTAGAAGGTATTTCAGTGCAGCCGGGTGTGGTGGCTCATGCCCGTAATCTCAGCACTTTGGGAGGCTGAGGTAGTAGATCACTTAAGGTCAGGAGTTCAAGACCAGCCTGCCAACGTGGTGAAACCATATCTCTACTAAAAATACAAAAGTTAGCCAGGCTTGGTAGCAGGCACCTGTAATCCCAGCTATTCGGGAGGCTGAGGCATCACTTGAATCTAGGAGGTGGAGGTTGCTGTGAGCCGAGATCGTGCCACTGCACTCCAGCCTGGGTGACAGAAGGGGACTCCATCTAAAATAAAAAAAAAGTGTTACAATGCTTGTTCACGGAAACATTTTAACTTGCATTAGTGCTTTATGTCTCTGCATTTATATTAAAAATTCACGGCCGGGCATAGTGGCTCAAGCCTGTAATCCCAGCACTTTGGGAGGCCGAGGCGGGTGGATCATGAGGTCAAGAGATTGAGACCATCCTGGTCAACATGGTGAAATCCTGTCTCTACTAAAAATAAAAAAGATAAAAAAAAAATTAGCTGGGCATGGTGGCACCTGCCTATAATCCCAGCTACTTAGAAGGCTAAGGCAGGAGAATTGCCTGAACCCAAGAGGCGGAGGCTGCAGTGAGCTGAGATCGCGCCATTGCACTCCAGCCTGGGTAACAAGAGCGAAACTCCATCTCAAAAAAAAAAAAAAAAAAATTCACACACAAATGAAAAGGGAAAACTACCAATACCTGATTTCTGTCCCCTATTTTTCCACTGACAATCATATACTTAGGTGCCTTTTGACCCCATGGAAAAAAATATCTAACGTTCAGAACTACCAGTAACAGAAAGAAGAGAAGTTTTTTTTTTTGTTTTTTTTTTTTTTTGAGAATGAAATGTTTCCCATCATAGTGGATTCTTAAGCACGTTCTCCACATATGTGGTGTGCTAGCTCTATGTCTTTTGACATAATTGTTACATGTTTGGCATGGATAGCACACAGGTTGATGTCTTCAAAAAGGCCAATCAGGCCTCACTTGCTTCCTGCAAAGCACTGATAGCTGCGCTCTGGAAGCGCAGATCTGTTTTAAAGTCCAGAGCAATTTCTCATACCAGACACTAGAAGGGACGTTTGCAAATCAGAAGTTCAGTGGACTTCTGATAACGCATGATTTCATGGAGTGCCACGGTACCAGGACTGTAACAGTGAGGCTTCTTCACCCCTCCAGTAGACGGTGCACTCTTGCCAGCAGCTTTTGTAGCCAGTTTCTTCCTGGGTGTTTTACCACTGGTCGATTGGCAGGCAGTACACTTTATACGAGCCATGTATAGAGACTTCCTTACTTACCCCACTTCTCCTTCGGCTGGAGCTCAGTGAGCAAGAGGCAGCACTGGTGTTGGAGAGCAACAGTGGCCTGGTGGTGGCTGCAAACACTAATTTTTATATTTTTATTAGAGACAGGGTTTCACCATGTTGGCCAGACTGGTCTCGAACTCCTGACTTCAGGCAATCTGCCTGTCTCAGCTTCCCAAAGCCACCATGCCTGTCCTGTTTTAGATCTCTAAAGCAAATTTATTTCTTTTTTTGGCCAAACTGTTTCCATTAAGTATCAAATCAGCTGAAAGTTTTAGGTCAATTTACCGAAATATCTTTTACTTTGGTAATCATTATTGGTATGTTTTATTTTCTTAAATTCTCTTAAGGGAACCTACAAATGCTTTGTTTCACCAAATAGATTTGGATAAGAGGTTAATACCTAGAAAACAAAATGTGTGTTAATATTACAGTACATTTTCCTATCCTTCTCAACAAAAATGTCCCTTATCCCCATATATTTTCAGCTATAGGGGCCATTGGAGATCAGTCTCCAGTAAATGCAGGGATCTAACTGGTCTGGAGGCCCATCCATACCCCCTACCCACTGAGGACCCTGTTTTAACCGATAGTGGTTTCCAAGTGTTATGGAGCAGCCCATCCACCCCCATAGGGATGTCACAGGGTTGGTATTTTATCTACCTAGTCACTAATAATTGTACCACAGGGAATGGTAGGGGTTGTTTGTTTGTTTTTTAAGACAAGTTCTGGCTCTGTTGCCCAGGCTGGAGTGCAGTGGCTTACTGCAACCTCTGCCTCCCAGGCTCAAGCCATCTTCACACCACAACTGCCTGAGTAGCTGGGAATACAGATGCATGCCACCATACCTGGTTACTTTTTGTATTTTTGATAGTAATGGGGTTTCACCATGTTGCCCAGGCTGGTCTTGAACTCCTGAGCTAAAGCAATCTGCCCACCTCGGCCTCCCAAAGTGTTGGGATTACAGGTGTGAGCCACTGCGCTCGGGCAGTTCCTTTTTAATTTGAGACACTTGCTTTCAGGGAACAAGGATTAAGATCACATTTCCCATTGAAGTTCTGTGTGATTTGAATACTAAATATTCCAACGTGTTTCCGGTCAGTACTTATCACTATTAGTCTTCTCAATTCTGCAGTAACTAAAATTAAATTATTTGCTTCTTGATAACTTAGCCAAGGATGTATAATTATAAATAGTCCTCAGGGTCCTGCTAATATTTATTTAAAAACTACTCAGCTCTTTTTACACAACAGCCTCTGATTTGCTGGTGTCTAACCACCAGTTGCAGGGGAATAACATCATGATTTAGTAGGACATCCTTACTCATTCCCAAGAGGGCATTTGGTTTACAATGCGTATCAGTTTTTGTCTTAAAGTACCAGCCTTAAAACTATTTCTTCTGTTTGCTCCCTTTACTCTTTCTTTTACACCAGCAGTTTTATTTTCATCAGGATGGTTGATAACAACTAAAGGATTATGTTTTTAGCCATTCTCAACTTTCTTTTCTTTTTCAATTCATTTTGTTAATGCCTGCAGGATAAATCTGTCATCCAGATTCAACTGGTGAGATTTGTCCCCAGTTATCTACTATAGAGCTTTCTTTACTTCAACTCATAGACAGTATGCTGTCAGTCAGGCGCTAGGTTCCCTCCCTCCCTTTCTTTTTACTTACCCCCAGAGTGTTGGCCTTATAGAATTGAGGGCCTAAAAGTACTTTTGTGATTAAAAGTACTGCATGGCCTCTGATAGTGGCCCTGCTTTTGGACTGATAGTCAAATCACAGGACACTACTGTAGGAACAGTCCAGGCCCAAACTCCCTGTGCTCAGGTGGTCTGTATATAAATATGTATCAGCCTTATCTTTGGCAACCAAGTGTGTCATGTGCATTCCTGAGCCTTTAAAACTGGGTAGTTGTAAGACCTCCTGATATGAACGATATGCTGCAGTCTGTGCTTCTTGTCCTATATCCTTTCTTAAATAAACTTAGTGCTAAATTGAAGCTTCTTGGTCCAGTGATTTTGACTGTCAATCTAAACCTGAGAACAACTATTTGTAGCAATGCAAATATATAATAAATATTAATTGTAGAAAATAAGAAAATTCAAAAAGGCATAAAGAAGGCCCACCTGTAAACCTGTCATGTAAAAATAATCACTATTCATAACTTGGTGGGTTGATGCTGCTCTAAAGTTTATATAAAAATTTGCTTTTTACAAGCCAGAGATAAGAAAGTACATAATGTATAGTTTTGTGCTATTTTCCATTGAAAATGTATCATGAATATTTTCCATATTCATTTATTATTGATTTAGTGATATATTCTTAGAAAAATATATACACACAGCTTACAACTATATAAATTTACATTGGCACATTAGTAACAATTTTAAATGGTCAGAGAAATTTATATGGTAACTTTCAAGGTGATTAGTTTCTATGTTTGCATATTTAAGCAACAATACAAAAAAATATTAAAAACTTAGGCCAAGTGCGGTGGCTTACATCTGTAATCCCATTACTTTGGGAGGCTGAGGCGGATGGATCACCTGAGGTTGGGAGTTCGAGAACAGCCTGACTAACATGGAGAAACCCCATCTCTACTAAGAAAAAAAAATTACACAATTGGCCAGGTGTGGTGGTGCATGTCTGTAATCCCAGCTACTTGGGAAGCTAAGGCAGGAGAATCACTTGAACCCAGGAGATGGAGGTTGCATTGAGCTGAGATTGTGTTATTGTATTCCAGCCTGGGCAATAAGAGTGAAACTCTGTCTCAAAAACAAAAAATAAAAAAATAAAAACTAGTTTCATTTTGAGTGGCACAAAATTCCTAGTATTCTGCCTTTATGATAAAAAGAAGGGTGAATTAATTTTTATTTAAAGTAAGTAGGCTGGGCATGGTGGCTCATGCCTGTAATACCAGCACTTGGGGAAGCCGAGGCAAGCAGATAGCTTGAGCTCAGGAGTTTGAGACCAGCCTGGGCAACATGGCAAAACCCCGTATCTACAAAAACACAAAAATTAGCCATGCATGGTGGCTCACACCTATACTCCCAAGTAGCTACTTGGGAAGCTAAGGAGGGAGGATCATATGAGCCCGGGAGGTGGAGGTTGCAGTGAGCCATAGTCACACACCAGTGCCCTCCAGCCTGGGCAAGGAAGCAGGACCCTGTCTCCAAAAAAAATTCATCAATTAAAAAATTAAGTAAATAAAATACATAGTGAAGTTTTATGAGACCAGTATAGTAAGATTTGTTGCCTATTTATAAATTCTATAAGAAATCTATGAGAATATTTTAATATAGTTGCATCACATGTAGATTACTTCAAAATGGATGCTTGAAGACTATTATGTTTTCTCTGAGTTGACATTATGAATTTGATTTTCTTACTTTCTACAATTGTAGTGCCTATGAGATTATCAAGCTGAAGGGATATACCTCTTGGGCTATTGGACTGTCCGTGATGGATCTGGTAGGATCCATTTTGAAGAATCTTAGGCGAGTGCATCCAGTTTCCACCATGGTTAAGGTAAGCTTAAATTAAATTTTCATTTGTCATTCTTTCCTTTGATATTTATTGAGTCACTGGCCAGTGCCAGACAGTGTACAAGATGTTGAAGATATAATCGTGAATAAAAAATACAGAGACCTTGACTTCAGGTCAAGTCAAAAAAATACAGATACCTTGACCTAAGGAAGGGAATCCTGAAAGAGAACCAGGTCTGAGGCTGGGCGCAGTGGCTCACGCCTGTAATCCCAGCACTTTGGGAGGCCAAGGTGGGTGGATCACGAGGTCAAGAGATTGAGACCATCCTGGTCAACACGGTGAAACCCCGTCTCTACTAAAAATACAAAAAATTAGCTGGGCATGGTGGTGCGTGCCTGTAATCCTAGCTACTCAGGAGGCTGAGGCAGGAGAATTGCCTGAACCCAGGAGGCAGAGGTTGCGGTGAGCCGAGATCGCGCCATTGCACTCCAGCCTGGGTAACAAGAGTGAAACTCCATCTCAAAAAAAAAAAAAAAAAAAAAAGAGAACCGGGTTTGAAGATCACATTTACAGTTTTGGACACAGTTTTGGGCACTGGCATATAAACAGTGTGAAGACAACTCAAACTAGCTTATGCAAAAAGAAAATATATTGGCTCATGTAACTGAAATGCCAGTGAGGCCGGAATCAGGTACTCAGACTGTGTTATGAGAGCTATCTTTTCTCTGTATTCTCTTGGCTCATCTTTTTCCTTTACTGGCTTCCAACTCATGCAGACTTTTTCTGTGGGGCAACAAAGTTGGCTCCCAGTAGCTGCAGGCTTAGATCCTATACTACTTCTGGCTGAGAACCACTGGAGTAGACTGAGGAAATTAAGACAAGTATCAATAGCTATTTTTAGGAATTTGGCTGTGAAGGTAAGGAAAATCAGGGCAAGAAGGCTGTTTGTTTTTTACGCAGATAAGATGCTTATGGTAAAGATCAGGTACCAAGGGAGAGGATCAAGACAGAAGTGGTAAGCAGAGGGGGATGGAGTTGAGAGCATAGATATAGGCATTACCCCTAAAAGGAGGAGGGGTAGGAGTTAACAGAGAGAATGTGTACTGATGCATATAGATTTGTAAATCTGACGTTGGAAGCATCTGATAACCTCTCTATTTTTAGTGAAAGGAGATAAAATTATCTAATGAGAGTCAAGGGAAGTATATGGAATTCAGAGATTTGAGAAAATTTGAAATAGTCTTTATGGATAATGGGAAAGAGAATTTCATTTTTAAAAACAAAGCAGAATTACTGTCATGCTTATTTGGAGTTGGTAAGCATTAATTAGTAATGTTAAATTTGTAATGTAAGTTAAAGATAAACTTCCTTGTATGGTTTTTTTTTTTTTCCAGTGATCTGAGTGCAGGGATAGAGAAAGCACACAGCTGAATTCATTCAGGTTTGGGTTTTACTGGCAGAATCTGAAAGGAAAAGAGAGAGGCAGACAGAGATTGAGGGAGGGAGGAAGAAGAAAGAGAGATTGAGAAAGAAAGAGGTGCAAGCATTTTGGCTTATACAGTTGTAAATGGGTTTAATATTCTGCTAAAAGGCACAGACAAATTCAAGACTTCTGTCCTTGAATATATCTACTACACATGAATAAATTATAAAAATAAATAAGAAATATTTTAATAAAAACTAAACATTAAAATGGGCAAAGGAGCTTAGGGTATGGCCAAAGGATTATAGAATGATGGATCATGGAACCTAAGTTGGGTTTGGAGGAACTCCATAGCAAGGTCCAGAGCAGGATAATGGAGTGGGAGCAGAAGGTTCCATAAGTTAAAAAGGTCTAGAAACTGGAAAGAAAGGGAATTTTGGTTGGATTATTCATATGTATATTGACGTCAACAAGGATAATGGCAGTAATTGGGATAGACAGGGAAGACTGTGAGCCATATGTCAGTCTTGTGAATGAGATGGAATAAGTAGGAGGTTAGTAAATGGTCATTAGAAAGGGAAGAAGAGCTGAATTGGATCCTCAAAAAAAAAAATAGGGAAAATATGTTTTGTTTTTATAAGAGCAGGGGACGATTTGGAAGAGAAGCCAAGCGCAGTGGCTCACACCTGTAATCCCAGCACTTTGGAAGGCTGAGGTGGGTGAATCACTTGATGTCAGGAGTTCGAGACCAGCTGGTCAACCTGGTGAAACCCCGCCTCTACTAAAAAGACAAAAATTAGCTAGGTGTGGTGGTGCACGCCTGTAATCCCAGCTACTTGGGCAGCTGAGGCAGGAGAATTGCTTGAACCCAGGAGACGCAAGCTGCAGTGAGCTAAAATTGTGCCACTGCAGTCTAGCCTGGGCAACAGAATGAGACTCTGTCTCAAAAAAAAAAAAAAAAAAAAAAGATTTTGAAGAGGCAGTGAACAGTACACAATAGATACCACACACCCCTTCTTTTCAGAGGATGCAGAACCTATGGGAGAATAAGCAACTACCCCTCTAGGACTCTGGAGAAAGAGTCAGGGAGGTGTCAAACGAGTAATCAATGAAGAGACTGAGTAATATGGGAATTTAATAGCCTTTACCGAACAAGTAATGGACGAGTTGTATTTTATTTTAATGTAATTTTAATTTTTGAGGGGGAGCATGGAGTCTCACTTTTTTGCCCAGGTTGGAGTGCAGTGGTGTGATCTTGGCTCACTGCAACCTCTGCCTCCTGGGCTCAAGCAATTCTCCTGCCTTAGCCTTCCAAGTAACTGGGATTACAGGTGTGCACCACCACGCCTGGCTAATTTTTGTATTTTTAGTAGAGATGGGGTTTTGTCCTGCTGCCAGACTGGTCTTGAACTCCTGACCTGAAGCTATCCACTCACCTCAGCTTCCCAAAGTGCTGGCAATACAGGTGTGACCCACTGTGCCCAGCTGAGTTGTATTTTATAGAGAACATATAAACATTTGACATTACAAGCAGAATAATTTGTATATTCTTTTTTCTTTCTTTCTCAGTTATTTCACTTTTACTATGTCACATTTTCACCAAATCAAGATGTGCAGAGTTTCATATTAATGTATAATTGGATTTTTTTGGTCAAATAAATAGGGAATTATCTTTAAACCATCTCTGTATTTCACAGCCAGTCCAAGAGCACATGAGAGCAAATTCTAATATATCCAGGGGAACTTAAAACCAACCAGGCATAAAGCTTAAAGGGAAAAGGACAGGCTGAGGGGGTTAGCAGCAGGTCACCATTAGCATGCAGGGCTAGGGTTGGTGCCAGGATTCAGGCAGGAGCCCTTGTTCCCAGCTCACCCAACAATCCTCAGATGGCATGATGGATGGACATGAATTCTTGAATTCCAGTTCGAGATGCCTCTTCTAGAGGAAAGAGAGATGACAGGAGGCAAAGGGAAACCAATTCTGGAAATACCAGTAGAGAAGCAGAGGGACTTCTTCCCCTGCCACCATGGCCTTGCCTCTGATTACACCCATGGAAGCTCATGTTAAAAGCTCCAAATGTCACACAGAGGTGGCAACAGAATGATCAAGGATTGGAGATGGAGTTTGAGACCAACCTGGGCAACATAGACTCCATCTCTATAAAAAATGAAAAGAAAAATAGCCAGGCATGGTGGTGTGTGCTACTTGGGAGGCTGATGTGGAAGGATTGCTTGAGCCCAGGAGGTTCAGGCTACATTGAGCTGTAACTGCACCACTGTAGTTATAGATGCTGTCCCTTAAAAATAGAAAAGAGGATAGGGAAGGGAATTTGAGTATGACTGTGGCTGGAGCCTGGCTGAATAGAATGTGGGTTGACGGTCTGAAAAGACAGTGGCCTTCCACAGCTAGGCAGATGCCAAAGTGGAAGGAACATAAGTAGTTCCTGGCGGGGCGCCCTCAGGGATGACACTTGGCTGATCGGATGGAGCTTATGAGGTTGAGTGTAAAGTGGCTACCAAAATGAGGGAGCTGGACTACGGTAGAGGAGGTTAACCAGAGAATCCCTCTGTGGGGAGAGGTTACTAGAGCCAAACAGGAACAAGGGGCACACCTTGTGTTCCTGAGGAAGAGCCCCAGAGATGGTGAGAGGGAAGCATGGCTGAATAGCGCCTGTGGGCTCTGGAGCATGGAAAGTTGTGAGGCACTGCTCCAGAGTCAAGGGGCCTCCGCTCTTCCTTCAACACTATTCCTGGTAACTGTTGATAATAAGACCTGGAGAAGAACAAGGCCCTCCCATCTCCTACAACCCCAAACTCAGCCCCAAGGAGAGGATTAAAGAGTGATGAGTGGTAGGAGGCAGGGAAGTGTGAGGGGCCTACTGGGTTTCCTTTTATTTTATTTATTTATTTGAAATGGAATCTCGCTCTGTCACCAGGCTGGCGTGTAGTGGCATGATCTCTGCTCACTGTAGCCTCCACCTCCTGGGTTCAAGTGATTCTCCTTCCTCAGCCTCCTGAATAGCTGGGATTACAGGCATGCGCCACCACACCTGGCTAATTTTTGTATTCTTAGTAGAGATGGGGTTTCACCATGTTAGTCAGGCTGGTCTCGAACGCTTGACCTTGTGATCTGCCTGCTTTGGCCTCCCAAAGTGCTGGGATTACAGGTGTGAGTCACCATACCCGACTTTGAGTCTTCTTTTAAATTTTTTAATTTTTAATTTTTTGGGATACACTGAGTGCTTCTATCTTCCAAGACCAGGGAGAGGGTAGTATGGAGGTGGTGGAGGCTGATACATGCACATGTAGATGTTGTGTGAGTTGCCCAGGGTGTAGTAGGCTCTGGCAACTGCTGCTTGGCTTTGGTTGCAGGAGTGGAGGGAATTGTGGGGCTTCTGACAGGAGGTTCCAGGGCCCCAGGATAGGGCAGTGCCATGGGGTTGCACCTGTCTCATGGTTCTATCCCTACTGGGAGGTCCTGGATAGAACTCAGGTGGAGGTGGTGGATAGGAGTACAGAAGGGCAGGAGTACATTCCATTGCAACTGGTGATGGGAGGCATAGGCCCCACCAGGCATGTAAAGAGTATCTATAGGCTCCACTGGGGGCTTACCTCTGGAGGCTTAAAATGCCACCTGTAGGCCAGGTGTGGTGGCTCATGCCTGGAATTCCAGCATTTTTTGGGAGACCAAGGCAGGTGGCTCACCCGAGGTGAGGAGTTCAAGACCAGCCTGGCCAACATGCTGAAACCCCATCTCTACTAAAAATACAAAATTTAGCTGGGCGTGGTGGCACATGCCTGTAATCCCAGCTACTTGGGAGGCTGAGGCAGAAGAATCGATTGAACCTGGGAGGTGGAGGTTGTGGTAAGCCGAGATTGTGCCATTGCATTCCAGCCTGGGCAAAAAGAGCAAAACTTCATCTCAAAAAAAAAAAAAGAAAAAAGAAAGAAAGCCACCTGTAGCATCCATTGTCCAAACTCAATGATGCTCCCTGCTGCAAAGGTATGAAGCAGAGCTTTCCCAGTCACCTCCTGCTTCACTGTTGCCTTAATGTAGTTTGGACTAAACACAAGCTGCTTGATCCTCATATCTGATAAAATGGCATCATGAAGGACTACATGTCATCCTTCCTTGGGACAGAAAGATGACCTGGTAAGGAATAAGGTAAATTGTACCCTTCCTGGTCCTTCTAAAGGCCTCTGGCATCTTCTTCATGTCATTGAATGTAAGCTCCATATGGCCATAGGACACAAGGCTGCTCTTGCTTTTCCTGCTCGTCACTCTGCTGCCCTCTGAGCAATTCATGTTGAGTGCCTTAGTCTCTCCTGTATACTCTTATTCTGATGCCCGTTTGCACAGCTCCTTTTCCATATCAGGTTACTTGAACAATAATCTACTTTTGCCTTTCAGGGATTATATGGAATAAAAGAAGAACTCTTTCTCAGTATCCCTTGTGTCTTGGGGCGGAATGGTGTCTCAGATGTTGTGAAAATTAACTTGAATCCTGAGGAGGAGGCCCTTTTCAAGAGAAGTGCAGAAACACTTTTGAATATTCAAAAGGATCTGAAATTTTAAAGCCTTCTAATGTTCCACTGTTTGAAGAACAGAGGATAGTTGATTGTATAAATTTTGAAAGTATTTTTATTTGATCTTTAAAAAATAAAAATTGGAGACCTACGACATAACTCCACTCTCTCAAGATTAGAACGAGAAAATGGTAGAGATTTTCCTCTTTAAGACTCCTTTATAGCTCTAATGATACCCAATCTGTACAGGTGTAAGTTATACTTCTGAGGGGTCATATATGTAAGAGTGCCTACAGATGTAGAATATGTATAATCAATATAATATAGAGCTTTGATTCTTTTCGCAAACCAACCCCTTTTTCTAATATTACAATTTTATCTTGCACTTTTGTCCATTAGAGTATCAGCATATTCATTTCATATTGCATTAGTGTCATGTGTTTATGTGTAATCATTATAAATGCGGCTGGGCATGGTAGCTCATGCCTGTAATCCCAGCATTTTGGGAGGCCAAGGTGGGTGGATCACCTGAGGTCAGGAGTTTGAGACCAGCCTGGCCAACATGGTGAAACCCTGTCTCTACTGAAAATACAAAAAAATTAGCCAGGCACAGTGTTGAGTGCCTATAATCCCAGCTTTTTGATATATATAGTCTTAAAAAAATAAGCATTTATAATTACTTTTTTTTTTTCAAGACAATGTCGCTTTGTTGCCCAGGTGGAGTGCAGTGGTGCAATCTCGGCTCACTGCAACCTCCACCTCCTGGGTTCAAACGATTCTCCTGCCTCAGCCTCCCGAGTAGCTGGGATTACAGGCGCATACCACCACGCCCAGCTAATTTTTGTATTTTTAGTAGAGACAGGATTTCATCATGTTGGCCAGGCTGGTCTCGAACTCCTGACCTCAAGTGATCTGCCTGCCTCAGCCTCCTAAAATGCTGGGATTACAGGTGTGAGCAACTCCACCCAGCTGATTATTGACTAATGTTTGATAACAGTCATTATTAGCTCCCTTTTGGTGTCTAAAGGTGAAGTGCTCCTACTGATTTATATAATTACCGAGTACCAGCTTGGTCAGGAGACCCCCACCCAGGTGGCACTGAAGGTAATGAGAGGCAGACACCCAGATAGAACAACAGAGGGATCTCTCCAGGGGACCAGCAGCCTATCGAACTGAGAGCCTCAGGGGCTAACACCATTCCAGGCTGAAGGCCCTGAGCAGATTCTCATCCACGTATTCTCTCTTAACAGGTGATTCTTATTAAAAACAGGTGTTCTGTATTTACTCATAACTCATAAATATTCCAACTAGGCAGCTGTTACCTGCCTACTACAGGTAACTACTAATTACAAACTAAAAGGTATTCTCCACAAGGGAGCCACGGGGGCAGAACAAACTGAATGTTTCTCAACATATAGTATATCCATACATATGAAATATTTCCTTGATTCCACAAAGAATTTAAGGCAGCTATTGGAACTATATAATACGATAAAAAACTAAGAAATCGATATCAAGGTAATTTACCTTTTTTTTTTTTTCTTTTTTTAGACAAGGTCTTGTTCTGTCACCCAGGCTGGGGTGCAGTGGTATAATTGTGGCTCACTGAAGCCTTGAACTTCAGTGCTCAACAGATCCTCCCACCTTAGCCTCCTGAGTAGGTGGGACTACAGGCACATGCCACCAGATCCTGTAAATTTTCATATTTTTTTGGAGAAAGGGTTTCACCATGTTGCTCAGGCTGGTCTTCAGCTCTTGGGCTTAAGGGGTCCTCCTGCCTTGGCCTCCCAAAGTGCTGGGATTACAGGCATGAGCCACCACTCCTGGCCAATTTACAAATTATGACTAAAACTAGATCAGTGGGAAATATTAGAAGGTAGATATGCAGGCCCTGAGGACTCACATGACTAGCAGAGGCAGATTCATTTGGTCAGAGAGTCATGGTTTACTCTCAGTTGATTGTTCTTGCTGTCTTGATAGCTTTCATTCTGGTCATCTATTCCTGAACATGATTAGTTTCCCATTATTTTATTCTTTTCCCTTTTTCTTCAGAATCTTCCCTTGAATGTATAAAATTATTATCAGTTAGGATGGGGGCAAGGGGAGTCTTCTGTGAGTTTTGGCTTTTTTCAAAGCTCATTTGTACATCAAAACTTCATTTTAGGAAATTCTTGCAGAGACTAAAAGGCTGAAAAATTGATACAGTTTCTACAGGGAACATTCTAGTGAGAAAAACTGCTTTACATCATGTATTCTCAACAGGGCAATTTTTTCCTTAAGTGGCTGAAAACTGGTTGTGGGGAGGAGGGAGGAAGGAAAAGATTTTTTAAAAAGTGTAGATATTACAAGAGTTTGGCTCTCCGAAGCTCAACCCTGCCTGACCAAATCTTAACTCCTTAATGTTTAATTTCATGATGCGGGGCGCGAAACAATTAGGGGGAAAATATCTACCAAGGCTCTTGAGGGAGTGATAATGAAAAAAGACTGAAAAACACTGCTCTACATTTTATAAAAATTTGTCAATGTGTGTTAACTATATTAGGGTTATCTAGCGGGACAGAACTAATAGGAGATATATATATGTGTGTATATATATATATATATATATATATATATATATATATATAAGTTTAATGAGGAGTGTTGACTCACATGATCACAATAGGCAAGCGGAGGAGCAAGGAAGCCAATCGGAGTTCCAAAGCTGAAGAACTAGGAGTCCGATGTTTGAGGGCAGGAAGCATCCAGCGTAGAAGAAAGATGAAGGCTGGAAGACTCAGCCAATCTAGTCCTTCCACCTTCTTCTGCCTTCTTCTGTCCTAAGTGTGCATCTGACTAGATGGTGCTCATCCAGATAGAGGGTGGGTTTGCCTTTCCCAGCCCACTGACTCAAATGTTAATTTCTTGTGGGAACAACCTCACAGACACACCCAGGATCAACACTTTATATCCTTCAGTCCAATCAAGTTGACACTTAATATTAACCATCAAAATTACATGATTCACTATTTTGAAAGAAACCATGTTGAAATTTTCTGATTTTGTGAGTTACAACCACAGCCCATTAAAGCCAATACTTGTTATTTGGCTGCTTTCAAGCCATGCAGATATTTTTCAGTATTTAAAAATGAGCAAATAAAATGAGGCAAATAAATGAATAAAATGAGTTTCTGAGACACTGCTTAAGTGGCTGTAAATTGGACAGAATTTTTATGGTGGGCAAACTGATGAAGATACTTTTAATAGGTGATTTATATTCGTAAATATAAATAAATTTGTAGTACATATTGAAATAATTGTCACTGCTATATCAGAATTAAAAAGCAGACTCGCATTAGGACTTCTCCATACAAATTCTTTATTATTGGTTCTTAAATTGGAAAAGTATAAATTATTATATCTTTTAACTAGATAAAATGCAGAAATTTTGGCTTGTGAATTTAATAAAGAATCATACAACAACAACAAATTACATGATTCACAAATGAGTTAGAAAACAGGTAAAATGTGGTGGGAGAAATATAAACCTTGGTTTATTCCAGACTGATGTTGGAGTCTATATTTTTATTTTATTTTTTTTTTTATTTTTATTTATTTATTTATTTTGAGACGGAGTTTCGCTCTTGTTGCCCAGGCTGGAGTGCAATGGCGCGATCTCGGCTCACCGCAACCTCCGCCTCCTGGGTTCAGGCAATTCTCCTGCCTCAGCCTCCTGAGTAGCTGGGATTACAGGCAGGCGCCACCCATGCCCAGCTAATTTTTTGTATTTTTAGTAGAGACGGGGTTTCACCATCTTGACCAGGATGGTCTCAATCTCTTGACCTCGTGATCCACCCGCCTCGGCCTCCCAAAGTGCTGGGATTACAGGCTTGAGCCACCGCGCCCGGCTTTTATTTTTTATTTTTGAGATGTAGTCTCACTCTGTCACCCAGGCTGGAGTGCAGTGGCACGATCTCGGCTCACTGCAACCTCTGCCTCCCAGGTTCATAAACGATTCTTGTGTCTGAGCCTCCCAAGTAGCTGGGATTACAGAAGTGCGCCACCATGCCCAGCTGATTTTTGTATTTTTAGTAGAGAGGCGGTTTCACCATGTTGGCCAGGCTAGTTTCGAACTCCTGACCTCAGGAAATCCGCCCGCCTCGACCTCCCAAAGTGCTGGGATTAGCTTGAGCCACCGCGCCAGGGCCAGAGTTTTAAATTTTTACTTTTTCTACTTTAGCTCACAGCTGAGGTGGTAATAAGTAGTCTTGAGGTCCCTTTCTCCTACAGTGCTGGGGAAATTTTTCCAAATCAGAGTCAAATGGGCCTTTTCAGATACATCCAGACAAGATTTTGTTAGAAATAAAATTACTTGGGCTCTCTGGTGGATGAGTTCTAGGCAAACATCTCCGCCTGACAGCAGAGGCCCTGCAGTGCACTGTGCCTGCCGCACTTCGCGCCTCTTTTGCAGCGGTTCAACCACCTACCCCGCCGCGTGCCCACCTGCACGCGGGGGCGGGGCGGGCAGGCAGAGGCGCAGGCGCAGAGCCCCACAGCCTGCTTCTGGCCTCTCACCTGCTGGGCCTCACACCTGCTGGGCATCAGGCCTGCGATGCCTGCACGAGCTGGGTGCGGTCTGCGCAGCTGCATTAAAACGGTGACCCGGCATCCGTCAGTCGGTGGTTGACCTTCGTGCCTTGACGAGCTTTACTCCATTCTATTTCCTCACCTCTTGAGTGAGTGACCATGAGCTGGGCTGCAAGTGTTCTGCGGAGCAGCCAGAGAGCGGGCGCCGCGGGAGCGGATTGTTTGTGCCCAAGGATGGCTCCGTGTCTCCGCCAGGTGGTATGTGACCTGCTCGGGCGAGGCTGGCCCTTCACCTGTGAGTGTGGCCTGCGGACCCTGGGTGCAGTCCTGGAGCTGAGAACTGGAGGTTGGGGGAAAAGGAGGGGAAAGGGAGAGAAAAGGGAGTCAGCTGCGGGACAGAAGCGTCCCAGCTGTAGTCTCATATTTGGTGGAGCAGCGCCTGTTCTTTCCTCTCTCTCTCTCTCTTAACTCCTCTTAACTGTACTCACGCTTCCTTCTTCTTCCCCTGGTCCGCTTCATGGAGGCTGAGCTGCCTGGCTGGAACCTACCCAGCTTCTTTGCTGGTCAGATTTGTCGGTCTCTTGGGTGTCTGCAGCACCTCTCTCCGCACGGGGGCCCAGGAGTTCTTCATACGCGCTCTCGCCACAGACCAACTCCAGGTCTGGAAATGGCTGTGCAATTTGTTTTCAATGTTAGGTTTCCAGGATGGCAACTGTCAAGGGTGAACTTATTAAGAATGTCGCTGAGGAGAAGGCCATTCATCACAATAAGATCTCCATTGTAGGAAGTGGATCGGTTGGTGTGGCTTGTGCTATCAGCATCTTATTAAAAGTAAGCGATGTGTTCTGTGCCACAGGATTCACCTCTTTTGTAGGCAAGGCCGCTACATAGGGTTGTGCAGGTTGTGTCTAGCTCGCGGGGTGAGTGGGGATCCAGTACAAGGGGAACCAGAGGAAAAGGTGCCCTTTTAAAAGTTGTTCCACCCAGAGGGGGTTCCTCTTTAAAAATTGTATGATGATATCACATGTGTTAGAAGCATCTCTGTGATATGTTAACATTTCACTTAATGACAGTATAAGGTACCCCTTCACTTGATTTGGAAACTCGGCTCACAAAACAAACTGGAGAAATAGGTGGCAGAAAAGAGTATACATGCATGTCAGTGATGGTAGGCAGCCTACAAGTACCAAATACAATAATCTTTTTCCCTTTAAATATCTCTCTCCCGTTTCCTAGTCTCTATATCTGTATTTCCCTTTGTTCCTTGTTCATGTTAGGTTAGTTTTAGTGTTTAGTTGTTCTTAGTATTGATATAGCTGATAAAAGTTTAATGGCTAGAGACAGAGGCCAAAAAAAGATTCTGACCCTTTCTGAAGATATTACCTTGGTCTGAACTTTATTACCATAAAGTTTTAGTAAATCATAAGAAACTTTGAGCTACACTTTTACTAATGAAATATCTGTAAAATGTTTTAAGCCATCTTTTAGATAACCTTTAATTCTGGCCTGAGTCATTGGATTTAAAAGATTGGTTCTGGGTTTCATATCTAGATGATGTAGTGACCTTATGGCACTAAGGATGGCAGCTGCAGCCAGCTGCTGTTTGTGCCAGCCATACACATTCCCAGTGGTTCATTTTGTCCTATTGTAATGCCTTTATCAGCAGTGTCCTCATTGCTAATGAAGAATACACACATGTGAAAACCAACGCCTTTGTGACTGACTGACTGATGGGACCTCTATGTACTTCCCCAGGCTGAGCTCAAACTCCTGGCCTCAAGCAATTCTGCCTTGGCTCCCTAGAGTACGGAGATTACAGATGTGAGCCACCTTGCTTAGCCCAACCTTTTTTTTTTTTTTTTTTTTTTTTTTTGAGACGGAGTTTCGCTCTTGTTACCCAGGCTGGAGTGCAATGGTGTGATCTCGGCTCACCGCAACCTCCGCCTCCTGGGTTCAGGCAATTCTCCCATCTCAGCCTCCTGAGTAGCTGGGATTACAGGCACGCGCCACCATGCCCAGCTAATTTTTTTGTATTTTTTAGTAGAGACAGGGTTTCACCATGTTGACCAGGATGGTCTCGATCTCTTGACCTCGTGATCCACCCACCTCGGCCTCCCAAAGTGCTGGGATTACAGGCTTGAGCCACCGCGCCCGGCCCCCTTTTGTTTTTTAAACATCAGTAATAATAATATGTTTATATATCTAGGTGCTTTCTGGTATTAAAATTAAAAAAAAAAAGAAATGTTTATATACATTATTCAATGTTACAACTCAGAAAAGTAAATACTAGACCTACTTTTTAGAGGAGAAAAAGGCAGACTATCTCAAACTGCATGAATAAATAAGTATACAGTTAATAAATATATACAGAAAAGCTTGAAACGGAAGATTTACCACCTCTGCTTTGAACGGCCATTCTGGGAGGGATTGAGCCATATCCCTGGAACTCCTACTTCCGGCAGCTGCTGCTAGCCTTTGGTTGCAGGAGTGGAGGGAATTGTGGGGCTTCTGACTGGAGGTTCCAGGGCCCCAGGATAGGGCAACCATGGGGTCTCATGGTTCTATCCCTACTGGGAGGTCCTGGATAGAACTCAGGTGGAGGTGGTGGATAGGAGTACAGAAGGGCAGGAGTACATTCCATTGCAACTGGTGATGGGAGGCATAGGCCCCACCAGGCATGTAGAGAGTATCTATAGGCTCCGCTGGGGGCTTACCTCTGGAGGCTGAAAATGCCACCTGTAGCACCCATTGTCTAAACTCAGTGATGCTCCCTGCCGTAAAGGTTTGAAGCTGAGCCTTCTCAGTCACCTCCTGCTTTTAGAATCTGAATTCTATTATGTTGCTAACTATGACATTTGTGTATCTTAGGAAATGTGGTACACAGTCCCCGGGCAAAGCCTCAGGTTTAGGCTCACTTGAATCTTTCCCTCTCGGCCGTTGACACTGCAACTTCTGTCATTCGAGGAGGTGATAATAGCCTAAAAAATCCTTGCTGATAAAGAAGGAATTCTCAGTAGGAATTGTTCAGGAATTTATTGTTAGAAGTTTATGGTACAAACCTAGCAGAGAGACAGAAATGTCTTTTAAAATTTCTGAATGATACCATAATACATACACTGTAATTAGCGTAATGCAAGATCCACTTTGCTTTTTAGCTTTGGGTCCCGAATCTAGAATAGTGCCTCCTGTAACTGATAGTAGTTGAATGAAAGAATTGCTAAAAGCTGCCCACTAAAAGGGAAAAGGCACTGAATTGTGAATATAAAGATCGGATATTCTGTTTACCTTCATTTTTAGAAGTAAGGAAAGAGTTCAGAGAGATTGTTAGAATATACTTCTATAGACTATTTTTAAAAACAGGTTTAGATTTACAGAAAAATTGAAAAGATAACAGTTTATACCCCACTTGTAGTTATTAACATCATACCTTAGTATGGTGTGATGGCTAATATTGAATGTCAACTTGATTAAAGGATGCAGGGTATTGTTACTGAGTGTGTCTCTGAGGGTGTTGCCAAAGGAGATTAACATTTGAGTCCCTCAGTGTGGGTGGGCGCCATCCAATCGGCTGTTAGCACATCTAACATAAAAGCAGGCAGAGGAACGTGGAATGACTAGACGGGCTATCTTCTGGACTCCATCTTTCTTTCGTGCTGGATGGAGTCGAACATCAGACTCCAAGTTCTTCAGCTTTTGGACTCCAAGACCTACACCAGCGATTTGCCAGGGCTCTCAGGCCCTTGGGCACAAACTGAAGGCTGCACTGTTGGCCTCCCTACTTTTGAGGTTCTGGGACTCGGGCTGGCTTCCTTGCTCCTCAGCTCGCAGATGGCTTGTTGTGGGACTTCACCTGTGATCATGTGAGTCAGTACTCCTTAGTAAACTCCCTTTCATATATGCATCTGTTAATCCTGTTCCTCTAGAGAACCCTAATACCTTAGTATGGTGTATTTGTCACAGTGAAAGAATGGATATTGACATATTACCTTGAAGTCCACACTTAGATTTCTTTAGTTTTTACCTGTGTCCTTTTTCTGTTCCACGATCCTATCCAGGATGATACCACATGACATTTAGTCACTGTGTCTCCTTGGGTTCCTCTAGACTATGGCAGTTTCTTTAGATTTTTCTTGTTTTTGTTGACTGAGCATTTTGAGGAGTACTAGTCAGGTATGTTGTAAAACATCTTCCAGTTGAAATTTGGTGGTTTTTTTTTTTTTTTTTTTTTTTTTTTAATGGTGAGACTGAGGTTTGGGGTTTTGGGGAGGAAGACATAGCCATAAAGTGCCATTTTCATCACATCCTATCCAGGATACATGCTATCAACATGACTTATCAGTATTCATGTTGGCCTCAGTCACCTGGCTGAGACTGCTGATCAGGTTTCTCTACTGTAAAGTTACTCTTTTCCCCATTTCCATACTGGTCTCTTTAGAAGACAGTCCCTATGTAAAGCCCACACTTATGGGGTGGAAAATTATTTTAATTCTTCTACATGCGAGATTTGTCTCTCCTCCCCTATTTATTAATTCAGTAATTTGTCAATATCAGTAGGCACTCATGGATCTTATTTTATACTTTGGGTTATAATCTAATACTTCCTTGTGAATTTGTTCCAGCTGTGGCCACTGGTAATTCTTTAAGTTGCCTGCTGCGTCCCTTTGACATACTATATCGATATAGGGCTTGGTTTTGTTTTGAGCACTTCCTAATTCTGAAACGTCAAGATGTTTCAGGGTTCTTCATCTTGTATATTTTCTGTACCAGTCCCAGAATCAGCCTTTTCCTCCAAGGAACCTTGGTTCCCTTTATTAGATGATGGTATTAGAAACCAGTATCTGGGGCTAGGTATGTTCATTGCTACTGGAGTTATGATTCATTTTCAAAACTGCCTTTCAAAGATAATCAGTATTGTGGATTTCTGCTCCATATGACTCCAATCTCAGAATAACTGAGTGTCCAAAAAGCTTTGGCATTTCATTAAGCAACAACTTGTTCCTTGTAATACAGCTTAGACTTCTAGGTTAATCGGTTGTAGTGTAGTTTAAAATGTAAAGCACCTGGCTTTGAATTTCCAGTAATTCAAATAAAGTAAAAAGATCCAGGTTGCCAGGTGTGGTGGCTCATGCCTATAATCCAAGCACTTTGGAGGCCAAGGCGGGTGGCTCACCTGAGGTTGGGAGTTCAAGACCAGCCTGACCCACATGGTGAAACCCTGTCTTTATTTAAAAAAAAAAAAAAAAAAAAGATCCAGGCTGCATTCAGTGGCTCGTGCCTGTAATCCCTGCACTTTGGGAGGTGGAGGCAGGAGTATCACTTGAGGCTAGGAGTTCAAGACCAGCTTAGGCAGCAAAGCAAGACCCTGTCTCTAAAATATAAATAAATGAATGAAAATTAAAAATTAGGTGGCTGGGTGCAGTGGCTCACACCTGTAATTTCAGCACTTTGGGAAGCGGAGAGGGGGTGGGGTTGGATCATCTGAGGTCAGGAGTTCGAGACCAGCCTGGCCAACATGGTGAGACCCCATCTTTACTAAAAATATAAAAAAATTAGTTGGGTATTACAGGCATGTGCCTGTAATCCCAGCTACTCAAGAGGCTGGGGCAGGAGAATTGCCTGAACCCAGGAGGCAGAGGTTGCAGTAAGCCACGATTGTGCCATTGCACTCCAGCCTGTACAACAAGAGCGAAACTCCATCTCACAAAGCCAGGTGTGGTGGTACGTGCCAGTAGTACTAGCTACTTGGGAGGCTGAGGCAGGAGGATTGCTTGAACCCAGAAGGTTAATGCTGCAGTGAGCCAGGAATGTGCCACTGTACTCTAGCTTGGGTGACAAAGTGAGACCCTGTCTCAAAAAAGAAAAAAACAAAGGTAAGAGGCTCTAACAATGTGAACTGGATATGAGCCTAAATTATGGATGCTTGGTCCTTTCTTTTTCTTTTTCTTTTCTTTCTTTCAAGAGTGAGTCTTGCCCTGTCACCCAGGCTGGAGTGCAATGGCTGATCTGATCTTGGCTCACTGCAAACTTCGCCTCCTGGGTTCAAGCAATTCTCCTGCCTCTGCCTCTTGAGTAGCCGGGATTACAGGCGTGTGCCACCACCCAGCTAATTTTTGTATTTTTAGTAGAGACAGTGTTTCACCATGTTGGCCAGGCTGGTCTGGCACTCCTGACCTCAGGTGATCTGCCCAGCTCAGCCTCCGAGAGTGCTGGGATTATAGACGTGAGACACAGCGCCTGGCCTTTGGTCATTTACTTCTAAGCACTAACACAAAGGCCTTTTTTGTCCTCCAAGGAAAAATTTAATATATAATAAAGATAAAAGAATGTGTAGTTATGGGAAGGAAAATATAGAGAATCAGAAAAAATGTGTAGTTAAAAGGTAATACATTTACAAGGTTTGAAAACAAGGCTGGGTATGGTGGCTCATGCCTGTAATCTCAGCACTTTGGGAGGCCAAGGTAGGAGGATCACAAGATCAGGAGTTTGAGACCAGCCTTGCCAACAAGGTGAAGCCTCATCTCTACTAAAAACAAAAAAAATTAGCCAGCGTGGTGGCAGGAGCCTGTCATCCCAGCTATTTGGGAGGCTGAGGCAGAAGAATAGCTTGAACCTGGGAAGGCAGAGGTTGCAGTGAGGCAAGATCGAGCCACGGCACTCCATCCTGGGCAACAAGAGTGAAACTCTGTCTCAAAAAAAAAAAAAAAAAGTAAAAGTAGGCTGACATGGTGGCTTACTACCTGTAATCCCAGAACTTTAGTCGGCTGAGGCAGGCAGATCACTTGAGCCCTGGACTTTGAGACCAGCCTCGGTAACATGGTGAAGCCCTGTCTCTATAAAAACTACCAAAATTAGCCAGATGTGGTGGCAGGTACCTGTTGTCCCAGTTACCCAGGAGGCTGAGGATCATCTGAGCCTGGGAAGGTCAAGGCTGCAGTGAGTCATGATCCTGCTACTATACGCCTGCCTGGGGGACAGAGTGAGACCCTGTCTCACACACACAAAAAAAAGTATAAGGAAAATTCAGAAAGATATATATAAGGCCGGATGTGGTGGCTCATGCCTTTAATCCTAGCACTTTGGGAGACCAGGGTGGGTGGATCACTTGAGGTCAGGAGTTTGAAACCAGCCTGTCCAACATAGTAAAATCCAGTCTCTACTGAAAATACAAAAAAATTAGCTGGGCGGGTGGGCGTGGTGGCTCATTCCTGTAATCCCAGCACTTTGGGAGGCCGAGGCAGGTGGACCATGAGGTCAGGAGATTGAGACTATCCTGGCCAACATGGTGAAACCTCATCTCTACTAAAATACAAAAAATTAGGGCCGGGCGCGGTGGCTCAAGCCTGTAATCCCAGCACTTTGGGAGGCCGAGGCGGGTGGATCACGAGGTCAAGAGATCGAGACTATCCTGGTCAACATGGTGAAACCCCATCTGTACTAAAAATACAAAAAATTAGCTGGGCATGGTGGCGCGTGCCTGTAATCCCAGCTACTCAGGAGGCTGAGGCAGGAGAATTGCCTGAACCCAGGAGGCGGAGGTTGCGGTGAGCCGAGATCACGCCATTGCACTCCAGCCTGGGTTACAAGAGCGAAACTCCGTCTCAAAAAAAAAAAAAAAAAAAAAAAAATTATCCAAGTGTGGTGGCACATGCCTGTAGTCCCAGCTATTTGGGAGGCTGAGGCAGGGGAATTGCTTGAACCCAGAAGGCAGAGATTGCAGTGAGCTGAGATCAGGCCACTGCACTCCACCTTGGCAACAGAGTGAGGCTCCATCTCAAAAGAAAAAAAACTGGCTAGGCATGGTGGCACATGCCTGTAATCCCAGCTACTCAGAAGGCTGGGGCAGGAGGATCATTAGAATCCACAAGGCAAAGGTTGCAGTGAGCTGAGATTGCACCACTGCACGCCAGCCTGGGAAACAGAGCAAGAGACTCTGTCTCAAAAAAACAAACAACAAAACACATGGAGAAGTCAAACAAGTTTCTGTCCAACCTTTCTTTAGCATCTACTTTAGGCAACTATTTGAATCAGTTTCTTGTATTTCTAGGTTTGTTTGTTTGTTTTTTTTCCAAATAGAACTATATTTTCTTTCCTTTCTTACATATAAAGCAGCATCATAGAAATTACGGTACTAATTGGTTTTTGCAGGTAATAACTGATTATAGAACTAAAATATTCTTGCATTGGAAGGAGCCTTATGTTTTAATCCATTTGCTATGGTTTTAATGTTTGTCCTCTCTGGAACTCATGTTTAAATTTAATCCCCAATGTGGCAGTATTGAGAGGTGGAGCCTTTAAGAGTTGACTGGGTCATGAGGGCTCTGCCATGGATTAATCCATCAACGAATGGGTTATTACTGGTGTGGGACTGGCAGCTTTATAAGAGGAAGAGAGAGACGTGAGTTTAGCAATCTTGGCCTCCTTGCCATGTGATGCTGCCTTGGGACTCTGCAGTCTCCTCCAGCAAGAAAACCCTCACCAGATGTGGCCCCTTGACTTTGGACTTCTCAGCCTCCCTAACTGTAAGAAATAAATTCCTTTTCTTTATAAAGTACCCAGTTTCATCTCTTCTGTTATAAGCAACAGAAAATGGACTAAGGAGCATTTACTCAAAAAGCTTTTATTGCACTCCTGTGTGCCAGGTGGACGGTAAGTCAGAACCAGAAGGCTGGTGAACTTCTGTTCTGAAGGAGCTCGTGGTCTGGTGAGAAATTCCTTCAGCAGAATCCCTACTTTATCACTGTGCAGCCTCAGCTGAACTAGAAAATGGGGGTGTTCACTACTTTCAGAGATTGTTTTATTTACTGTGCAGTTTCTGTTTTTGTTTTCCTAACGATGAGCTGAAATGTTCCTCTTTGTAACTTGTATTTTTTCTGGTTTAGACTTTAATATCATGAAATGATGAGATCATTTCTCATGTTACTTTGAATTTAGTGATTCACATGCTAGACTTGGATCACCAGTTTTCTTTCATTATCCAATTAAGAGCTACACCCACCCCCATTTGACTAATAATGTTCTTCAGGGTTTGAGTGATGAACTCGTCCTTGTGGATGATGATGAAGGCAAACTGAAGGGTGAGACAATGGATCTTCAACATGGCAGCCCCTTTATGAAAATGCCAAAAATTGTCTCCAGCAAAGGTTAATGTCATAGTTAAATACCATAAATATTCTAATATACATGAAATCTAAGAAAATCACTTTATTTCCTTTGAAATTGACCTCCCCAGTTTTTATACATAAGGCTGGTTGCTCCCTACTCTGTACTCTCATAACGTGTTCAGAGTCCGTAGGTTGTACTTTGTTTGCAAGGTTTCCCACAACAGCAGACTAAGTTCCTTGTGAGCAGCAGCGATAGCAGTTAAGACACCTATAACGAATTGCCTACGGTGTGTGAGACGTTGACCTAAGCACTTTATTATTTAATCCTGAGCACAACTCTGTGTCTTAGAGATGATAGACCTCTGAGCTAAGGTTAAATAAAAGTGATGGAATAGGGATGTGAACCCTGTGCTGTTTGATTCCAGAGCCTAAACTCTTCCCTACTGCACTTTATTCACTTGGTGCCTGGGAGATATTTGAAAAAAACGAATGAACCAACATCTCCCTATTCGAGGGTTTGTTCACACATCTGTCTCTAAATATTTTTGCCAGACTAATCCATATTTTGACCTCTTAGTACAAAAGGTATTTTAGGAGGTGTTTTTTGTTTTGTTTTGTTTTGTTTTTTAGACATGGACTTCTGGGCTCAAGCGATCCTCTTGGTCTCGGCCTAGAAGTAACTGGGACTACAGGTGTGTGCAACTGCACCCAACTTAGGAGGTTTTTGTTTTTGGAAATGGAGTCTTGCTCTGTCACCCAGGCTGGAGTGTCATGGTATGATCTTGGCTCACTGCGACCTCTGCCTCCGGGTTCAAGTGAACTTTCTTGCCTCAGCCTCCTGAGTAGCTGGGACTACAGATGCCCACCACTGTGCCCGGCTAAATTTTGCACTTTTAGTAGAGATGGGGTTTCACCATGTTGACTAGGCTGGTCTTGAACTCCTGGCCTCAAGTGATCCACCTGCCTCGGCCTCCCAAAGTGTTGGGATTACAGACGTGAGCCAAAGAGCCTGGCTTAGGCTTTAATTAAAAAAAAAAAAAATGTACAAGGGAAACTTAGTACTAATTTCCTGAAATTAAAAAGTAGTCTGGGCATTCTAGAATATTGAAGGGAACTCTTTGGTAAACATAGTGTGGTGATTGAAGTAAACAGGAAGTATACTTAAATGTCCAATGTTTTCTTTCATAATCTATTTTTTCTTCGAATCTTTCCCCAGATTACCTGGTCACAGCAAACTCCAATCTAGTTATTATCACGGCAGGTGCACGCCAGAAAAAAGGAGAAACACGCCTTGATTTAGTCCAGCGAAACGTGTCCATCTTTAAATTAATAATTCCGAGTATTACCCAATACAGTCCTCACTGCAAACTGCTTATTGTTACTAATCCAGGTCAGCTTTGTTTTTAAATTTTCAGCTTTTAGAATTGGGGGTACACCGTGTTAGGTTCATTATGTGGGTATTTAGCGTGATGCGCAAGTTTGGGGTAAGATGAATCATGCCCCCAGGTAGTGAGCATAGTACCTAATGGTTTTCAGCCCTTGCCACCCTCGCTCCCGCCCTGTCTAGTAGTCTCCAGTGTCAGTCGTTCCCATCTTTATGTCCATGTGCACCCACATGCTTAGCTCCCACTTATAGGTGAGAACAATGTGGTATTTGGTATTTCTGTTCCCGTACTGATTAGCTTAGAACAGTGGCCTCCAGCTGCATCCACGTTGCTGCAAAGGACGTCATTTTGTTTCTTTATGGCTGCATAGGTCAGCTTTGTTTTCGCTGTTGAGTGAAGAAGTTTTTGGGGGTGGGTTTAGTAACTTTGAAGAGAAAAATAATTTAATAAGTATTAAATCATAAACTACCAATGTAATTCCAGAATCTTTGTTTTGTTAGCGAAGTATGTACCTTGCACAGTTGTAATCAGTACATGTACTATAATCACTTAAAAAATACTAGTGTGAGGCCATGTGCAGTGGCTCATGCCTATAATTCCAGCCCTTTGAGAGCCCAAGGTGGGTGAAGCGCTTGAATTCAGGAGTTTGAGACCAGCTTGGGCAACATGACAAAACTCCATCTCTACAAAAAATGCAGAAATTATCAGGACACGGTGGTGAGCACCTGTAGTCCTAGCTACTCGGGAGGCTGAGGTGGGAGGATTGCTTTAGCCAGGGAGGTCAAGGCTGCACTCCAGCCCAGATGACAGAGTGAGACCCCATCTCAAAAAAAAAAAAAAAAAAAAAAGCAAAAAATATGTATACAAATAAATAAATAATATATATATATATAGTGGTGTGTATGGGAAGATACTATGCTTAATCATATGACTTCAAGGTTTACATGCTACAGGCTGAGGTTTGTTTTCCAAATTACTGTTTGCAAAGTGAAAATAGTGCTGTAGTTTACTGCCTGACTCTCCAAAACTGTACTACTCCTCACTGGTGCATGTACAAGGTGGACCAACTCAAGACAGACTTTGGAGACAATGTGTACAGGACTGCTGATAGATTATGTGAAGTGAGGGAAAGGCAGGAATACAAAATAACTTCTAGATTTTTCCTTTGAGTAACTGAATAGATGGTAGTTCCATTTAACTGGGTTAAATTTACTGATCAGGTGGGAGTCAGGGAAGTAGGAGGGGATGTTACATATAGAGGAGAAAAATCAGGATATTTGAAAAAGTACTCAAGAGGAAATATTAAACAGCTAGAGATTATGAGTCTGGAGCGTAGTAGTTTAGGGATATAGAAATTACTGTATTCTGAAATCATTTGGAACAGTTTTTCTCTGTGCAGACCAACACTGAGTGAGTGCATGATTGTTTATTCATTTCATTTGATACTGAGTAACTACTATTGAAATTTTGTTTCACGGTTTTATAAAATATTCACATGGCTCCGACATCAAATCAAGAACAGTAATGATTCAGGGTGGTCCAGGTTCCTTCCTTGTGCCCTTTTCCCTGTAGCCTCCACCCCTTTATAGGTAACCATTTACATTTTTTATGGTTTACAGCTTTTGTTACTACATAAATTTTTCTCCATTTTCTTTCATATTTAACTTACGAAGCTCACTCCATAGTAGAATTTATTTTTTTAATTTTTTAATTTTTTGTTTTGTTTTTTTAAGACGGGGTTTCACCATGTTGGTCAGGCTGGTCTTGAACTCCCGACCTCAGGTGATCCGCCCACTTCGGCCTCCAAAGTGCTTGGATTACAGGCGTGAGCCACCATGCCCGGCCCCATAGTAGAATTTATAAATATCTTGACTGCTGTGTCTTTGTGGTGAGTTTTTAAATCGGGATGTGTTAAGTCCTCTGACCTTTAAGATTATCTTGGGACAAGCGTGGTGGCTCATGCCTGTAATCCCAGGACTTTGGGAGGCAGAAGCAGGTAGATCACCTGAGGTCAGGAATTTGAGACCAGCCCACCAACATGGTGAAACCCTGTCTTTACTAAAATACAAAAATTAGCTGGGCATGGTGGTGCACACCTGTAATCCTAGCTACTTCAGAGGCTGAGGCAGGAGAATCGCTTGAACTTGGGAGGCAGAGGCTGCAGTGAGCTGAGATCGCTCTACTGCACTCCAGCCTGGACAACAAGGCAAGACTCTGTCTCAAAAAAAAAAATTTTGGCTTGTCTGGATCCTTAGCATTTCCATATAATTTATGAATCAGCTTGTCAATTTCTGAAATAAAACCAGCAAGGATTTTGATAGGGATTGGGGCTGATTTATTTTGGTTCCTTTGTATTTGGTAAGTTTTCTCTTGCTATTTCCAGTATTTTCTCTTTGGCTGTGAACATTTGACTATGATGTGTCTAAGTGTGAATTTCTTTAAGTTTATACCACTTGGAATTAATTGAGCATCTTGGATGTATAGATTTTATTTTATTTTTTGAGACGGAGTCTTGCTCTGTCACCCAGAGGGAGTGCAGTGGTGCGATCTCGGCTCACTGCAACCTCTGCCTCCCAAGTTCAAGCAATTCTCCTGCCTCAGCCTCCCAAGTAGCTGGGATTATGGGCACTCACCACCACTCCCAGCTAATTGTTGGTATTTTTAGGAGAGACAGCGTTTCACCATGTTGGTCAGGCAGGTCATGAACTCCTGACCTGAAGTGATCAGCCCACCTCAGCCTTCCAAAGTGCCGGGATAAGAGGTGTGAGCCACTGTGCCCAGTTTGGATATATAGATTAATGTTTTTCTATTTGGGAAGTTTCAGCTGTTACTTCTTGGAATAATTTTTCTGCTCCTCTGTCCCCTCCTTCTGGTGCTATCATACATGCATATTGGTGTGCTTAATGGTGTCCCGCAAGTTTGAGGTGCTGTTTTTTCTTTTTTAAAATAGTTTGTAGATTATCAAAAGTTCAATTTTCATGGTATGAGATATTTATTTGTATATTTAACTGCATGCATATCTTTAGCTTTCACATAAATGTTCTTTCATACGGGCTGTTGGCATAAGCATTTCTGCTTTTCAAGAGATTAATTCTTTAACCAAAAAAATACCAAATCCAAAATTCAGAAATGGTAGTCTGACCCTACAGGGAAGCACACTGAGAATAACAAGCTGATGATACATTATCATATTGTATAATAGTCTTTGATTTTATTTTGTTTTGAGACAGAGCCTCACACTGTTGCCCAGGCTGTAGTATAGTGGTATGATCTCCACTCACTGCAATCTCTGCCTCCTGGTTAAAGCACATCTCCTGTCTCAGCCTCCCGAATAGCTGGGACTACAGGCATGTGCCACCATGCCCAGCTAATGTTTTTGAATTTTTAGTAGAGATGCGGTTTCACCATGTTGGCCAGGATGGTCTCAATCTCTTGACCTCATGATCTACCCTCTTCGGCCTCCCAAAATGCTGGGATTACAGGTGTGAGCCACTGCGCCCAGCCGTATTTTTTATTTTCTAACACACTTTCCAGTAAGTTTTTCCACATCCTGATATCTGACGATACTGTTTTTGAAATGAGAGCTGTGGGGATATTCTGACCTGACTGAGAGTTGTGAAGCACCTGATAGAGCTCTGTCATTAACTTCTCTAACCTCTCAGGGCACTGAAGTCTGTGGGGACAGTTAAGTTGACATTTAGTGTTTGTGTTAAATGAATTCCCAAACTGCTTTGTTTTCACCAAAAAGCTTTCACCCTCAAAGTACCACGTCACTAAGGTTATATGGTAAACTAGGAAACACGAATTAAGCATCACTTGCTTGGCAACATTAACGGGCTTACCACATTAACACTGCAGATTTTAGCAGTGTACGTTAGCAAGAGATGCTTCCCTATGCATTATGCCAGAAGTCTGTTAAAGAATATTCATTAACTAATATTTCTTTTTTTTTTCTTTTTTCTTTTTTTGAGATGGAGTTTCACTCGTTACCCAGGCTGGAGTGCAATGGCGCGATCTCGGCTCACCACAACCTCCGCCTCCTGGGTTCAAGCAATTCTCCTGCCTCAGCCTCCTGAGTAGCTGGGATTACAGGCACACGCCACCATACCCAGCTACTTTTTTGTATTTTTAGTAGAGACAGGGTTTTACCATGTTGACCAGGATGGTCTCGATCTCTTGACCTCGTGATCCACCCGCCTCGGCCTCCCAAAGTGCTGGGATTACAGGCTTCAGCCACCGCACCCGGCCAACTAATATTTCTAATAAGCACATTCAGAGGATTTTTTTCCTGCATTTTATATACTGGCTTTTTGCCATTAAGAGCATTAAAAAATGAGGAAAAATAATCCTAATCTCAATCTCAAATACAGCTTAGTTCTATATTTGCTTGACAGTGCACATAGTTACAGTACATGCTATCAAATACACCTTCCGTATCTATTTAAAATACTTTTTCTAATTCTAGAAACATGTGAAGAAAGTCTTCTCCATTATTTTAGTGAGTCTGTTAAGATGGTTCACTGGGAACCATCTTTAAAATTTCAGTAAGGCGCTTCAAAAGTTAAGAGAAACAACTTCATTACTCTTCTGATAAAAAAAACTGTTAACTTTGAATTAATATATTAAGCTACCAAACATTGATACCACTCAGGAAAGATTTTTTTTCCCCTGAATGATAATATTTATTTTTTTGAGACAGTCTGTCACCCAGGCTGGAGTGAAGTGGAGCAATCTCTGCCCTCCAGGTTCAAGCAATTCTCATGCCTCACCTTCCTGACTAGCTAGGATTACAGGCATGTGCCACCATACCTGTCTAATTTTCATATTTTTAGTACAGATGGTGTTTTACCATGTTGGTCAGGCTGGTGTTGAACTGGCATCAAGTGATCTGCCTGCCTTGGCCTCCCAAAGTGCTGGGATTACAGACATGAACGGCCACACCTAGCCAGGTTTTTTTTGTAAAAAAAAAAAATTGCATCCAGATCTTAGTTCAGTTATAAACAACACACTATTGACATTATTTTAAAATAGCATTTTAGGTTACTACTGTGGAAATGTGGAGCTCAAGACATAACAAATACTAGGTATTAATTTCAAAACTATTCAGAATGAGGCCGGTCATGGTTCACGTCTGCAATCCCAGCACTTTGGGAGGCTGAGGAGGGAGGACTGCTTGAGCCTAGGAGTTCAAGACCAGCCTGGGCAAAACGGCAAAACCCTGTCTCTACTTAAGAAAAAAAAAATTCAAAACGAAATCTACCCAGAATGGCTTGAGATTTTCCATTATTGATTTATGAGTATTTCAGAATGTTTACAAATTAAAAAGTTCTAATAACTAATTATTTACATGAACTAAATGACCAAATAGAAGTGAAAAATGGAAAATTTAGAGGGCAGCATGGTAAGGGAGGGGATGTAAAATAATACAGGAAGAGAACTGAAACAAGTGAAGATCAAAGATTTAGGAAAAGTTTAACCTTTCCTTCAACGCTATAGTCATTTACCTAGGAAATGCGGTTGGTACCCCAGGATACAGCTGAGTTACTTGCTGTTTTCAGTTTACCAATTAAAACAGGCTACATTCTCAGTTCCAGACCCAGGGACTGACGGAGGGACCTCCAAACCCCTTGCATTTCAGTGGCAGTTGACAAACTTTTTTTTTTCCTTTTTGTGGCGAACACAGACAGGTATCAATCTCCTGGGCTTAAGCTGTCCTCCCACCTCTGCCTCCCTAAGAGCTGGGATTACAGGCGTGAGCCACGATGCCTGGCCTTAGCAAACCTCTTAAGACCCAGCATGGCTAATTGTTTTTCACTTGATAGCTTTATGTGTGAGGAAACTTAGACATTTCTACACATACTTCTGTCCATCTCAGGTATTAGAACAAATGCTTACCATTTTAAATTGTGGTATGACCAAACTGTTTCAGTTTTTTTTTTTTTTTTTTTGAGACGGAGTCTTGGTCTGTCAACAGGCTGGAGTGCGGTGGCATGATCTCAGCTTACTGCAACCTCTGCCTCCTGGATTCAAGTGATTCTCCTGCCTCTGCCTCCTGAGTAGCTGGGCTACAGGTGTGTGCCACCATGCCCAGCTAATTTTGTTTTGTATTTTTGGTAGAGAAGGGGTTTCACCATGTTGGCCAGGATGGTCTTGATCTCTTGACTTTGTGATGCACCTGCCTCTGCCTCCCAAGGTGCTGGGATTACAGGTGTGAGCCACGGCGCCCGGCCTCACTTCTTACCATTATTGAGTATTAAAAAGGGAACAGAAGCTCTAACTTCATGTTAATAGAAATACTACATATTTAGAAAACACTATGTTCTAGACGATGAAAGACATTATATCTTTTTAAAGTGTCTAGTTTCTACTAAAGTGAATACTTAAATCTGCCATAAAAACATGACCGAGGCTGGAGTGCAGTGGCACGATCTCAGCTCACTGCAACCTCCACCTCCTGGGTTCATGCGATTCTCCTGCCTCTGCCTCCCAAGTAACTGGGACTACAGATGTGTGCCACCATGCCCAGCTAATTTTTTGTATTTTTAGTAGAGATGGGGTTTCATCACGTTGGCCAGGATGGTCTCAATCTCCTGACTTGGTGATCCGCCTGCCTTGGCCTCCCAAAGTGCTGGGATAAGAGGCATGAGCCACTGTGCCTGGCCTTGAGACTATATTATGATGTATAAATTTATGGTTTTATAAATATTGTTGCATTGTTTTATATATTATGTATCTCATATGTCAATGAGAATTATATAGATAACACATTATATATTCTCATTAATGTATAAGATATATAATCTATAAATCATATGTATTATCTCTATCCCCACTAGTATATAATTATATACAATTATATACTAATGTTTAAAATAACTGACACTAAAATATCAGACTGTGTCAAAAATTTATCCCTTCCCTAATGGGACGAAAGCCCAATTATGTTTCCCTGCCAATTCTTTAAAAAAAAAATTTTTTTTTAAGAGACAAGAGTTGGTCTTGTTCTTGCTCTGTTGCCCAGGCTGGAGTGCAGTGGTGCAGTCGTAGCTCACTGCAGCCTTGATCTCCTGAGCTGGTGTTCCACCTGCCTCAGCCTCCCAAGTAGCTGGGGCAATATGCACATGGTACCACGCCTGGATAATTGTTTTTCCTTTTGGAGACACAGTTTTGCTCTATTGCCTAGGCTGGTCTCAAATGATTGCTGGCCTTAAGGGATCCTTCCATCTCTGCCTCCCATGTAGCTGGGGTTTATACTTGCTTTTTTCTGTTCCCCTCTTAACTTTTGTTGAAAATGGTTTATTCTCTGAGAAAAATTATTTGAAAGATGTGGTAAGAGACCGTTTATTCATGTTTCTTAGAATTTTCCGTGGTGTGAACCTTCTGTGTTTCTGCATACCAAGCTATGCAAAGTAGCAACAAAAAGGTTTTTCATTACTTCTATTTGGTAGGTATTTTTACAGTTGGGGTATAGCTGGGGTTGGATAGAGAACCATGTTTCTTGCCCCCTCCACAAAACATCGGATAGACTAGTTTTAGATAATCTAAAAACTGTATCCTTGCAGATGAGAACATTTCTTGATGAGAACTTGTTCTTCTTAGTGGATATCTTAACTTACGTAGCCTGGAAATTGAGTGCATTTCCCAAAAACCGTGTTATTGGAAGTGGCTGTAATCTGGACTCTGCTCGTTTTCGTTACTTTATTGGGCAAAGGCTTGGCATCCACTCTGAAAGCTGTCATGGGCTGGTCCTTGGAGAGCATGGCGACTCAAGTGGTAAGCCTGAAGCACGACTGGGCCCTGCATGCTCTCTGAAATCCGAATTTCCTATCATATGACATTTAATGTAAAGTGGCTCCTGGGAGGGGAGAAAAGACTTTATTTCACTTTAGGCCCTTTTAGTAGTGTTTAATTTTTACCACATTTATTTTTAAAATAACCAACAAAAAATACAGATTTGAAAAATGTGACATTGACACTATAATCCCACATATGGATGGCTAAGATTATAATGCTTTTCTTAAATAGAGAAGTAAGTAACACGATATAGTTTGTATTTAATTTGGGACACTCCAGTTCAGAAAGGTCAGTAGGATACTTCAAGTAGTAGGCATTCTTCAGATTAAGGGATGGGTACAACTGAGGAATATAAAAGGAAAGAGAAAGAGTGCTGTGGTAAGAGCAGGCCTTTCCCCTCCCGTAATGTCTTCTGGCTAAAACTTTTGAAATCGATTTAATATAAACCTTGGCTATGGAAAAAGACTTAAGGGAGAAAAATTAAAACTTCCTAGTGGAAAGTTTAAAACTGCAACTTATTTGGAGAATCTTTGCCAAGATGATAGAATTGTGGATCCCATCTTTGGAGATCTGGATTTAGAATATCTGGAGTGGGGCTCAGATATTTTGAACATTCCTAGTTGAAAACCACTCAGGGCAATTGTAACAGTTTCGCTAACGTCAAAAACCAAAACCCTGCTAATACCATATAAGAAGTGGATTTTTGGGTATCTCTTTCTTAGTTCCTGTGTGGAGTGGTGTGAACATCGCTGGTGTCCCTCTGAAGGACCTGAACCCAGATATAGGAACTGATAAAGATCCTGAGCAGTGGGAAAATGTCCACAAAAAAGTGGTTTCCAGGTAAGATGTTACTTTTACATTTTCAGTACATTAGAGTTGTGAGCTTGAACTATCAGGTTGAGATGATTCCCTTAAGTATATGTTGTTGTATTTCCCATACTTTAATTTACACTTTTACTTTTTGTGTGATCGTATCTACCAGATTCTAAGTTCTTCAACAGTCAGGGACTGATTCTATGTTGTTCATTCCTGAGCCTAACCCAGTATCGAGCAAAGCAGGGGCTCACTTGGTGACTGACAATATATTTTTTCGAACACTTGCTAGCGCTTACTATTGGTGGTGGAATTGATTCCATACTAATTTCTGCATCTCTGTACTTGTAACTATCATGTTCACTTTCACCACTGTGGCTGGGCATGATAGTTCATGCTTATAATCTCAGCACTTTGGGAAGCTGACGTGGGAGGATCACTTGAGCCCAGGAGTATGAGACCAGCCTGGGCCACACAGGGAGACCCCATCTCTACAAAATATATTAAAAAAATTAGCTGAGCATATGGTGGCCTGCCTGAACCCAGAAGGTTGAGGCTGCAGCAAGCCCTGTTTGTGCCACTACACTACCCAGCTGAGACCCTCCCTTGAAAACGCATACATACAGCCGGGCATGGTGGCTCATGCCTATAATCCCAGCAATTTGGGAGACCAGGGTGGGCAGATCATTTGAGGTCAGGAGTTCGAGACCACCATCAACATGGTGAAAATCCATCTCTACTAAAAATACAAAAAGTAGCCATGCATGGTGGTGCACGCTTGTAATCCCAGCTACTTGGAAGGCTGAGGCAGGAAGATCACTTAAACCCAGGAGGTGCAGGTTACAGTGAGCCAAGGTTGCGCCACTGCACTCTAGCCTGGGTGACAGAGCAAGACTTAAAAAGAAAAAAAAAAAAAAGCCGGGCGCGGTGGCTCAAGCCTGTAATCCCAGCACTTTGGGAGGCTGAGGCGGGTGGATCACAAGGTCAAGAGATCAAAACCATCCTGGTCAACTTGGTGAAACCCCGTCTCTACTAAAAATACAAAAAAATTAGCTGGGCATGGTGGCACGTGCCTGTAATCCCAGCTACTCAGGAGGCTGAGGCAGGAGAATTGCCTGAACCCAGGAGGTGGAGGTTGCGGTGAGCCGAGATCGCGCCATTGCACTCCAGCCTGGGTAACGAGCGAAACTCTGTATCAGAAAAAAAAAGAAAAAGAAAAAAAAAAAAAAAGGCATACATACTACAAGAAATTTCTAGGAGAAATTGTTGGAGTCATTACAGTTTTGTGGCACTGTCAGATAGGTTGCTGCAAAGTAGAAGTTCAATGACAAGTGTTTCTTCTAAACTAACTTCTTGCATTTATGGTTTCTTCTAACTACAGTGGCTATGAGATGCTCAAAATGAAAGGTTATACTTCTTGGGGCGTTAGCCTATCAGTAGCTGATTTAACAGAAAGTATTCTGAAGAATCTTAGGAGAGTGCATCCAGTTTCTACCCTAAGTAAGGTAAGACATTCATCATTTTGAAAAATCATTAACTTTAACATAAAATAGGGGTAAAGAACATTTTTGAGGGACTCTAGTTTTGAGTTTGATCTCATGGAAGCACCTCTCTTCCTGAAGTCTGTTCTTTGCTGCTGAAGAGCAGGGAAGACTGCGGAAAGAACCTATCTTTGTAGACCTTTGTCCCTGTCTAGTGTGACATTTCTTATTACATTTATTAGATAAAAGTAAGTGTTTTGCATCTTTATTAAGTGAACTGACTCTACCAGTATCTAGAACACTGGCAACAACTGTGAGCAGACCTTGGTACCTCTGGAGTTGTTCTTACAGTTTCAAGTATGGCCAATGAAGAGCTCTAGGAAAGAAGCACTAAACACAAAACAATTAGCAGTTAGTCTCCTGGGGAAAGGGGAACTGGGGCATGGGTAAGAGCCCTCTGCTAGTCTCAGTGGGAGAGGTTATAAAACAAAACAGATGTAAATCATTGGAAATAAGATCATAGGAATTTTGAAGTGGTCCCCTGATAGGAAGTGGTATGGGGTAAGGAGATGAGGAAAGAAAGGTGGGCCCCAGCAAACATGGCAGGAAGCTGGGGCCTATGCGGAGAGATGGTGAATGAAACTGAACAATAAATGTCTAATCATGTTTTAAATTATTGTCTTGGTACTCTGCCACAGTTCATACTACCAATCTGTTACTCATCCACCTTGCAACTGTTGCTTTTCATATTGTAGACCCCTGTTAAAAGTTAAAATAGCCGGGCACGGTGGCTCAAGCCTGTAATCTCAGCACTTTGGGAGGCCGAGGTGGGTGGATCACGAGGTCAAGAGATCGAGACCATCCTGGTCAACATGGTGAAACCCCGTCTCTACTAAAAATACAAAAAAACTTAGCTGGGCATGGTGGTGCGTGCCTGTAATCCCAGCTACTCAGGAGGCTGAGGCAGGAGAATTGCCTGAACCCAGGAGGTGGAGGTTGCGGTGAGCCGAGATCGCGCCATTGCACTCCAGCCTGGGTACCAAGAGCGAAACTCTGTCTCAAAAAAAAAAAAAAAAAAAAAGTTAAATAATTTTAGGTCTTTACTTTCAGGGCCTCTATGGAATAAGTGAAGAAATATTCCTTAGTGTCCCATGTATCCTGGGAGAGAATGGTATCGCAGACCTTATAAAAGTAAAACTGAGCCTTGAAGAGGAGGCCTGCTTGCAAAAGAGTGCAGAAGTACTTTGGAAAATTCAGAAGGAGCTCAAGCTTTAAAGTTGCTTAAAGCTACCATTCTGTAGATTGAAGATGAAATGGTCGTTATGGAATTGTATATGTCAAACTTTTGAATAAATTTGAATTTTAAAAGTTGGAAAAATAGAGGAAAGTGATCTATTTAGTGTGGCCTTCCAGCTTTTTTTGGAGGGTGGGGGTGGGGTCTAATTCTGCTACCCAGGCTGGAGTGGCACAATCACAGCTCACTGAAACCTCAACCTCCCAAGCTCAGGTGAACCTCCCACCTCAGCCTCCAGAGTAGGTGGGACCACATGCATCTGCCTCTATCCCTAGCTAATTTTTGTAAAATTTTTTTTTTTTTTTTTTTTTTGTAGTAGAGATGGGGTTTTGCCATGTTGTCCAGGCTGGTTTGAACTTCCAAAGTGCTGGGATTACAGGGGTGAGCCACTATGCCTGGCCTTAGCTCTTTTAGTATCCAGATGATGGATGACACTTTTTTTTTTTTTGAGACGGAGTTTCGCTCTTGTTACCCAGGCTGGAGTGCAATGGCGTCATCTCGGCTCACGGCAACCTCCGCCTCGTGGGTTCAGGCAATTCTCCTGCCTCAGCCTCCCGAGTAGCTGGGATTACAGGCATGTGCCACCATGCCCAACTAATTTTGTATTTTTTTAGTAGAGACGGGGTTTCACCATGTTGACCAGGATGGTCTCGATCTCTTGACCTCATGATCCACCCGCCTCAGCCTCCCAAAGTGCTGGGATTACAGGCTTGAGCCACCGCGCCCGGCTGACACTTTTTTTTTTTTTTTTAAGTGATGGCATGAAAGATGTTTTTGGTACCTCTCAGTACTTGCCTTGTCTGTATATATAACTGCCATCTGGTCCAAAATAATGTGTTTACTGTGTTAGAGAAATCCTGATTCATCAGGTGATAGTAATTCTTCTTAGAATGGCTTAATACCTATGTCCATTTATATGCTACTTAATAAAAGCTGTAACTTCCTCTACAATGTAAAAATAAAAGTATATACACACACACAAAGTAATCTCAGTGTTCCTAACACTAGATAAAATATTGATTTGACCTTGCTGGTTTTTATTCTGATAACTTTTATGAGTGCATTTTAATTTTTCCAGAAAAGATCTTAAGCTGTAAACCCCTTGGTGACAACAAATTGGTTATTCTTCTCTTGGGAGTAGAGTGGGCTGCCTAATTATCTTAACATCCCAAATAGAAACACACTTTTTTTTCTCTTTTCTTTGTAACCTCATGAACCTTCTAGCACTCTCATTTTGATGGAGAACATTCTATTCTAGATCAACACTGCAGGACATACAGCAGCTATATAGTTCATTGGCTGGTTGCAAACTTGGCTACAGAATCACCATGAAGATTAAACTTTAAATGACAAAAGCAGGGAGGTAATGGTACACTGGGTCTTTCCCTTTAATCCTCAAGTTATCAGGTATATAGTTTGGATCTGTCACTCTGCTCCTTTTTGATGAAAAGTTATGGTTCAGTGAGGCCTAGAAAGGAAACAAACTTAGAGTTGGCAGAGTATTATCTTGGAACTTTCACAGATAAGTTACTCAAACCCTTCAATTTCAAATATTTCAAAATTTAGATTTCTATTTGGTATACTCCCCATATTCACTTTATATGCTGTAGAATAATTTTAACTTAAGATGGATTTTATGCTTTGTTTGCTAAATGAAAAGTTGGGCTTATTAAGGTTTCATGGATCTTTCCTAAAGTCCAATAAAGGAGAGAAAAATTATGCAACAAATTTTATTTAGCAGTCCCAACACTCAGCACAAAAAGTTTACAGAGGATAGAAAGTGCATTAATAAAAGCCAGTCTTTACCAAAGAAAACAGAAAATATATTATTGATTCAAAATATTTTACACTTGAATGATAAACTGCAATAACTTATTCTGGGCACCTACTGATAAGAGAAAGGAAGAGAAGAAAGTAAGAAGAGCTCAACCTCCAGCTGGTATCGGAGAAGTCAGTAGAGGTCACTGAGACCGGCAGTCTTTCTTGCTTTTTGCATTAATGCCCTCAGCTGGAACTGCTTACGGGACAGAAGACGTACATGCTGGGAGGGGAAAAAGTTTCAATAGTTTAGAATGGCTTTGATTCAGGCCCAAGCATAAAGTATCAAACAATTTGTAACCTAGATGGGATCTAAGAGCCCTAACTCATGACCTGTCAACCTTTGGAATGAATACCTCATTACGTGTGGCTTTTAAACTTTATATAATAAAGACTTACTCAACAGGGAAAGCATTACATTGCAGGATTATGGCTCAGGAGTTTGACCTACACTTTGAGACAACCAATATGCTAGGGAAACTTGTGCTGTGATGCTAATAAAAGTTACCCAAAAAATGTGGGTAACTATGGCTGGCCCCACTTGGCTAAAAGAAGGGAAAGGGCAAACCATGAGAAGCATTAGGGTTGGCTTTTCTCCCTAGTCTGGCGGCAAGCAGACAGCATCTCCCTCTTGCCTCTCTGTGTACATCTTTTCCTAAGCCACGCCACCCATGCAAGAGATTGCATGGAAAGAGTCCTCTTTTGGGTTTCTGATTTGTATCCATCCATTCATATGGTTGCACCAGTTCTGAGGCACATAGTTTGGCCATTCCTCCACAGTGAGAGGAGACAGGCAAGATCAGCACATGACCTGACCAGGCTCCAGCTGCAGCTGGATCAAATATCCCAAGGGTGGCTGTTATTATCCCTAAAACCATGTTCTCCATGACCAAAGAGACAGCAGTAGCCAAACTTGGCTTCCTAGGTTTTCCTGTATACAACAGCATTAAACTTGAGGCAACTTCAGCCCAATACCGCGAAGGGCTGTTTGATGTGGGAAAACTGGTCTAAAGTTATATAACTAAGAAAATTAACAGATAAAAATGTAAGTGGCACAATCAGTGATCTCAATTTAGGTGGTATGACCTCAAAAAACCAATGGAAATCTGATCGGGCCTCCTGATCCACCCAGGCACAGAATAATTACACTCATTTTTTTTTTTTTTTGAGATAGTCTTGCTCTGTCACCCAGGCTAGAGTGCAATGATGCAATCTCAGCTCACTGCAATCTCCGCCTCTCAGGTTCAAGTGATTCTCCTGCATCAGCCTCCAGAGTAGTTGGGATTACAGGTGCCCACCACCACACCTGGCTAATTTTTATATTTTTAGTAGAGACAGGGCTTCGCCATGCTGGTCTCAAACTCCTGACCTCAGGAGATCTGCTGATCTCAGCCTCCCAAAGCGCTGGGATTATAGGTGTGAGCCACCACACCTGGCCAATTACACTCATCTTAATGCTGCTGCCTGGTGGGTACAGAACTGCAGCCACTAGCCCACTTTTCTTCCCTGGTCAGACCAATCCTCAGTACTCTGTAGGTAAAAAGATGGTGAAAAACCCTACATCTCATTTACTGTCTTTTGAGAAAATATAGAATCTTAATCCACACTACAGAGAAACTCTTCATTTGTGGTTTGCAAGGTCAGTGCCTCTACAACCCAAGTTAAATCTTGCAAAGTAAAATGAAGAAATACCTTCAGGAAGACATCCAGGTCTATCACTCCCCTCCTCAAAGCTTCTCCCAAGTAAAAGATAGTGTCTTCAATAGCATTTTCCTCTGCATACAGATTCAGGATCTGTTTGTATAAGGGAGCTGTGGGAATGATAACTTCATCAATATCATTGTTTTCAGACTGATTTTCCATTTTCTCCAGAGCAGAACTGAGTTCTTCATCCTTCTTTTTCAAAAGTTCTATGTTTTTATCAACCTCAGCCTGAAACACAACAGTCCAAGTGTTATTAATTGTATATCATGATCCACTTGTCAGACATCTATAACACTTCACAGGAAAAGACAGACTAATAACCATGTTTAAACAACTCATGGATGAGAATAACATTTCAAATACAGGTATTGATCGACTTACGACCTATGCAATTTATGACCTATGCAACTTACGACCATTCGACTTTACGACCACAATCGCTAGCCATGACTGCTCCGCGTCTGGCAGTGCAAACGTTGCCCAGCTGGGCCTACAACAGTGCGGACCAGCTTCTGGCAGCACTACCATCTCCGCTTGCACCATTTCAACTGTACATATAGCCTACTCAACTTACGACCAAATCATGTTATGACCGTTCCTCGGTTCCCGACTGTGGTCGTAAGTCGAGCACTGCCTGTAACACTCTGGTCAAAGGTAGAGGAAAAGATGTGATCTACTATCCTGAGTGAAATACAGTAGTGGTGGAGATATTCTGAGCTGAGAGCACTTCCAGTGACATTAACAAGCTTGTCATGCATCAGTATCACAAATGATACTGCAAACTAAACCATCAGACAAGATACCCTGCAGCAGGAGGTTCCTTTACATAGAAAATCAAAAGGGGTTTTCCTTCCCCACAAGTGGGCATATGCCATAGGAGAGTAACTTTCCCCAGTCTATGAAGAGGATTCAATGCAGAAGCCCAAATGTCTGCATTCTAATCACAAAGTATCGCATGCAGGTGGCAATTGTAGGCTCTGGGTTGTATTGCTGTCACTTTCCTGAATTCTAAAAATTGGCTACTTTGAAGCTCACTTTACAATCTAGAACCACTTTGTAAGGCTAATGTGTACATACAAATCACTTTCCACAAAGCCCTCAACTTTCTAAGAATTCTTTACTCTTACATCAGAAAAGCACATTGAGTTAAATAAATTCTCCCTCATGGGGATGAAAATGACAGTGAAGCCCGCACTTCAATTATGCTGATGCCTTCACTTTATCATTATTAAGCAAAGCCACGGGGCTGACTTACACATGGATTCTCCAAGGCACAGATGTCTGCTATAAATATAAGAAAGCTTAGAGAGCTGAAGGATGCATATGCTATGTTTACATGTAGCTCTTTAGCCAACCAAATATTTCTGGATTATTTAAGAAAGTCCCCTCAAGATACTTTTTAAAATGGCTCACGCAATCTTTGGAAACAATAAAATAATACTGTCCTTTTAAGTCTGCACCTAAGATCTGCAGATCTTTATCATGGCTTAGAACTCTCTAAACTTATTTCCTGGTAACTGGCAACATCAAGCACTCAAACAGCCCTCCTTTGGGTTAAAACATCATTTCCTAGGGGAAAGGTGTGATATGGTTTGGCTGTGTCCTCACCCAAATCTCAACTTGAACTGTATCTCCCAGAAAGGGACCTGTGTGTGGGGGACAGGTAACTGAATCACGGGGCTAGTCTTTCCTGTGCTAGTCCTGTGATACTGTGTAAGTCTCACAAGATCTGATGGGTTTATTAGGGGGTTCTGCTTTTGCTTCCTCCTCATTTTCTCTTGCTGCCACCATGTAATAAGTGCCTTTTGGCTGGGTGCCGTGGCTCATGCCTATAATCCCAGCACTTTGGGAGGCCAAGGTGGGTGGATCACCTGAGGTCAGCAGTTTGAGACCAGCCTCGCCAACATGGTGAAACACTGTCTCTACTGAAAATACAAAAATTAGCTGGGTGTGGTGTTGGGTGTTTGTAATCCCAGCTACTCGGGAGTCTGAGGCAGGAGAATCGCTTGAACCCAGTGGGCAGAGGTTGCAGTGAGCTGAGATCATGCCACTTCACTCTAGCCTGGGCAAAAGAGTGAGACTGTCTCAAAAAAAAAAAAAAAAACAGAATGCCTTTTGCCTCCCACCATGATTCTGAGGCCTCCCCAGCCATGTGGAACTGTAGGTCCAATTAAACCTCTTTGTCTTCCCAGTCTCAGATATGTCTTTGCCAGCAGCGTGAGAACGGGCTAACAAGGTGCAAACACAAAATGCTCTAAATATGATTCCCCTCCCAACTAAAGACCAAATGCCAAACACAGTCTCCAATGTAAACAAAGCTATAAAAAAATTACCTTCAAATATCTAAAGATGCCTATAATTTTCTGAACTCCTACTATGCCCACAATATCCAGGGTACATAAAGAACACTTTGCTATGGCTACAATTCAATCCAAAAAGTTTAAGTCTTCAAAGAGTTACTTACTACTTCTTGATCTAAACGAGTAACCATCTCTTCCAGTTTCTGGTGACCCTTTTTCAGGTCTTCCTCTGTTCGTTTCAGGGCATTCAGCTCTGCCTGGGCACGATCCATTTCCTCCTTCATCCGCCATCTCAGTTTGTCACTGACCGCTGAGATGAGAGAGGCTCGAATGGTGTCCTCGCTGATTGTGCCGTCCCTACTGGGACCTGCAGGAAACAGAAGCAGGGACACTTGCTTACTTCACAAGTTCCTTCTATTCCTCTCACAGGAACCTTCAGAAAAGGGGGCAATATGAACCCACACTTTCAAAATGTGAGGAAAGAAAAAGATTGTTACCAGTTTCATCAGAAACAATGTAAAAATCTGAGTTGATTCAGAAATTCTTGCCCTGTAAGAGATAACTATTAATCCATGTTAAACCCAGTTTCCCTATTCATAGCCCAAACAATTAGCTATTTTCTCAGTGAGACAGAGGCTATGTTCCTACCAATTACAATTATTCTTAAATCACCAACGAATGGGACAATAATTTCTACCAAGGAAAAACATTTGATGCAGGCCAAGTATAACATGACGCTTCACTGCTAAGTTGAAGGAAATAGGTGCCCACTGTAGCGGCCAATGAGAGGACTGAGAATGGGCAGTTTCCCTAAACGAATGTGCAGGTTAATAAGGCTCCCCTCTGTAAGACTTTTACTCCTTCACCGCTGTCCTTTACAGAACAGATGAACAAAAAAGAATGACATCCAAAAAATTCAACAGTTGATAAACTGTTTATTCCTAGATTACTATTCTATTCCAAATGTCCCTTCCTAATCAGTTATTATATAATTTCCATGCATACTTCAGATCAAATAAACATCCCCTGGATATTTTCTTCAAAAAGGTCCCCTTTTTAATATACTGCGTATTCTTTATGACTATCAATGTTCTTCCGTTATTGTCCTAAATTAGCAAATGTGTAAGTTTGACTTATGTTTGATTATAAAATACTATGAGGATACAAGTATATTTAACTTTAATTGCCTTTATTCTTTTTTTTTTTTTTTTTTTTTTTGAGATAGAGTCTTGTTCTGTCACCCAGGCTGGCCTCCCAGGTATCTGGGATTACAGGTGCACACCACGATGCCCAGCTAATTTTTGTATTTTTAGTAGAGGTGGGGTTTCACCATGTTGTCCAGACTGGTCTCGAACTCCTGACCTCAAATGATCCACCTACCTCGCCTCCCAAAGTGCTGGGATTATAGGCTTGAGCCACTGTGCCTGGCCTTAATTCCTTCTTAACTCCTGAAGTTCTCTTTACCAACTTCCCACAAAGGCAAAAATCTTCAACACATCTCCAAAGAAGACTGAAACCATTACTGGGAGCCTCCCACTCTTTTCTCCCTCTTTCTTTTAGAACAAGAATCCTAATCCCTTTATTTACATGCCCGACTCCTCACTGTTCAAAAGTACAAACTTCCCTTTCTCAGCAAGACAGCTTGTTTTCCTCCAGATCCTTTCGAAGGACCAGATGCTTTTAAGCTTGTACCTACTTCTCTTTCTAATTCCAATAAGTCTAAGTGCAACAATTACCCTTTCTATTATGCCTTTGTTCTTATTCTCTGGTTAAGCTCTGCTCTTAGCTAAGTTAAGGCCCATTTATTCACTTCTCTTAGCAGCCCCAAACCTTGGGTCATCTTTGAAACCCTATTCTCTCTGGTGTTTACATCCTCTGAGGTCAAGTCCAGTCTTAGCCAACATTACTCTCTATGCACATTCTCAATGGGAGTGATAGCCCCCAACAAGAGGGAGAAAATTAGTTCAAGGTGGAATAAAAAGTCTAGTTCTTCTTATGTATAAAGCAGAGATAGCCATACTGTACATAAACAGATATACAGTATAATCTGTGGCATTAACATTTGTTGTGGGTGCAAATTACTAGGGGAAAAAAAGTCTAAAAAGTCTCCCTAGGAGGGTGATAATAATAAAAGGTTAGGAAACACTGCTGAACCTATCTGCGATCTTGTTTTTCAACTAGATGTTTTGTTGGTATTGTAAAGTTCTGCTTGCTGGCCTTGTCACCACCATCCCAATCTTTTTTTTTTTTTTTTTTTTTTTTTTGAGACAGAGTCTTGCTCTGTTGCCCAGGCTAGAGTGCAGTGGCATGATTTGGGCTCATTGCAACCTCTGTCTCTCAGGTTCAAGTGATTCTCCTGCCTTAGCCTCCCAAGTAGCTGGGAGATAGGTGTGTGCCACCACACCTAATTTCTGTATTTTTAATAGAGATAGGAATTCACCATGTTGGCCAGGCTGGTCTCAAACTCCTGACTTCAAGTGATCTACCTGCTTCATCCTCCCAAAGTGCTGGGATTACAGGCGTGAGCCACTCTACCAAGCCTCATCCCCATCTCATTCTTAAACTTATGGTCCACATCATCTACATTTAAATTAAGCTAAACACAACCCATGAAAAGCAAACTTCCCGAAGGCCTGGTGAATTACCTGAGTCCTCTAATTACCTGATAGATGATCCTGCTTTTTACCAAAACCATCAACAAAGTCTGTCCAAAAAACTCTGTCTAAGCCATTCTAAACAAAAGTTTAATGCTCTTGAATATCAGATCCTGTCTTCTCCCCACAATTAAATTATGGTGAAAGCTAATCTTTGCCAATGATTTTCCTAAATTAACCATAATTAATTCCCCAAACAACAGCACAACAACTAGAATCTGCTCTCTCTTAAACAGTTATCACTACATTTATCAGTTTAAAAACCTATTTTCTGAAGGAAAGGATTCTATAATCTAAATGTTAAGAGTGGCAAACTTGCTAAATGATCTCTTGAAACCAAGAGAATTGGTTATCTTCTAGGAGTCCTAGAGAAAAGCAATCTTAAGGGCTCAGATGGTAAGAAGTCCTTAGTTTGTGCTTTTCTGGAAACTTATCTTCTGCTGGAATGTAGAAGGTAATTATTAAAATCGTTTATAAATATAAAAGTGCTCCAAAATAAAGCGCAAGGTGCTATTAAACCAAATTAAAGAACTCATCAGTATCTCTACTACCTGAAAACCAGAAAAGTGAACTGTTAAAGCTCTACGCTTTGAAGGCACATGGTTGGAGGGTGCTGAAAAGTCATTAATATAGTAAAATATTTAAAATTATGGATTTCAATAACAGCAACAGATAGGGGTGGGTCCCCAGTGAAGCCCCACCTTCAAGCCAAAAACAGCCTGAGGGCTGAAAGATTAGACTCCTGGTCCTGGATGAAACCCCCAACCTAGAGTGAGAACTTCTATTCCTGTTTGCCCACCCTTTCCCATTGATTCTTTCTAAATAATGCCTTTTAACCAAATATTGCCTTTTCTAGTACCACCTATGGCCTGCCCTTCCCCTATTCTGAGCCCTTAAGAAGCTGCAGGACTCAGCTACATAGAGGGGACTTTCCCACCTTTGGGTAGGGGAACCACCCCCGCATCCCCTCTCTGCTGAAAGCTATTTCATCACTCAATAAAACTCCCCATCTTGCTCACTCTTTGATTGTCCTCATTCTTCTCGGGCACAGGACAAGAACTCAGAACTGGTAAGTAAGCCAGACTCGGCCCAAGTGGGCTGAGTGGGAGGGCTGTCTCCTGCAGCAGGTAGCGTGGTTGAGGGAGGCCCAAGAGGAGGTCCCTGGCTTACAAAATGACTGAGAAGAAAATTCTCTATCATCGGTACTATCACTGCTTCAGTTTATTCAAACAATTCTGCCTGACCAGCCACCATAATTCAGTGCTAAGCCCCTTCAGCAATTAAATTCTTTAAAAAATTTCTGTCCCCAAGGGAACATTCAAATTCTTTAGCAAAGAATATTACCATAATTATCACAGTTCAGTCTCCTGGACTTGCTTTGGTTTCCATTTTTGCCAGTGAGGGGTAAACTGATTTATCATTTTGGTCTCTCAAAACAAACTGAAAGGATTTTCAGAGAAAAATGTAAACTGCAATACAAGTTGAGAAAACTTGACTAAAACACCTTAACTCAGGGAGGAATAAACGTTAGATCTTTTTTGCAACCATTAAAATTATTTTTTCTGGTAGAGAAGTAATCTTACTATGATGCTCAGGCTGTTCTCAAATTCTAAGCTCAAACTATCCCCTGCCTCAGCCTCCTGGAGTGCTGGGATTACAAGCATGAGCCACTGTGCCTGGCCTCCCACCTATAAACTGTTGCAAACAACAAAAAGAAACAAAAAAACCTCAAAGTATAGAAATCTGCTCTAATTCCTGGTTTGTAACAGGAGTTGTGGCTCAGCCCATGCTTTGGTGACCACACATCCTCCTTTTCCATTGCTCCATGTTGCCTATTTCATCTTCAAATTACAGTATCAGGCAGGAAGCTTTTGGCAGATCTTACTCTTTTTTTTTTTCCTCTCTATTCGGGTACTTTCTGTTTTTAACTGATAAAATTTTTCTTTCAGGTTGGGCGCAGTGGTTCTTGCCTGTAATCCCAACACTTTGTGAGGCCGAAGTGGGTGGATCACAAGGTCAGGAGTAGACCAGCCTGACCAACATGATGAAACCCTATCTCTACTAAAAATAACAAAATTAGCCAGGCTTGGTGGTATATGCCTGTAATCCCAGCTACTCAGGAGGCTGAGGCAGGAGAATTGTTTGAACCTGGGAGGCAGAGGTTGCAGTGAGGCGAGATCATGCCACTGCATTCCGGCTTGAGGGACAGACCAAGACTCCATCTCAAAAAAAAAAAAAAAATTTCACTTTTGAATTTTTATACTTTTCCTGATTATTCTGTGTCAGGTGAAACTAGAACTGTTTAAAAGACATACGCAAATCTAGTACATTGATAACCGGGGATTTTTCTTTTTTGCTGTACTATTCACAACCATGAGTGTGCTCTGCTAGGCAATATAACCATCACAGAAGCAAACGTTTGGTAGAATACTGGTTAAATAAAGCAAGAAAAGAGCTACCGGAGATATAGACAGGCTTGGTTCCACATTCACTACTGCATTTTCAAGGGGCAAGTATTAACTGCACATTTTTGTTCAGCCAGAAAGGAGGGATTTTTGTTAGTTTTTTTTTTTTGGTTTGTTTTAAATCAGTGCATGAATTTTTCTTTTCTCATTTCAGCAGATGGTCAAACAGACACACTAGGTGGAATGTTAAAGGTAGGGGATGATATTGTGAGACTGACAGGCCTATTATCAATTCTCTCCACTGCAGT